AAAACAAAATAGAATATATTAAATTGAAGACTTATTCATAATCTACCAAGTAAATCTCGTTTTGGACCAACATCCATTGCATTCCAATTAAATGAATATTTCGATGGCCACATAGTAAAACCTTCATGATGCTATATAACGAGAAGAATGGCTGTAATGATTCTATAAGTCTTTTATATTAAATATAATCTAACCTTGCTTGTGAGAACAATGTATCTAAATGAAACAAAAAAAAAGAGAATAATTTGTACTGGAAAGAAATAATATGTATGTACTTTGCACCAGATGCAGCAAATATATCAGCCCATTCGTTAGGATCTAGGAGTAGAAAACAAGAACAGACTGTCGAAAAAGAACAAAATCGTTTTTTAGTTACCATAAAGTTCAGCATGAAATTGTTCAGCAAAATCGGCATAAGTCCAATCAGGTGGATAATTTTTATTCATAAAAGCTACAGTATCAGGATTTGGATTATTTCCTTTCCATGCCCACCACATCCTATATAGAATCACAGAGAGAGTTTTTTTGTTTCTTAACATATTTATAAAGGAGTTAACAATTAACACTGATTATACCAGAACACGAAAGATAACATACATACCATTCTGAGTAAACAGATGGCACACTGAATACACCCCAATGGATAAATATTCCTACTTTGCTTTCGTCATACCACGTGGGTAATGGACGTTTGTCTAATGAAGACCAATCTGGTGTATATTGTTGTTTAGTAAATATTATAAGAGAACAAAAAATCAGATCAATAAATATCCAAGCTAGAAATGAATACATCCTATCTATCTGAAAGAAGCGATGTAATTGATATTGACTTATCTCTGTTCACTCCTTCGTAACTTTAACCATATTTTGATAAATTAAAAAAGCCTAATGCACTTCTTCCTTACCATGCTTCAGAGTCAATCGATGGAACACTGAAGACACCCCAGTGTACAAAAATGCCCACTTTCGATTGATCATACCAACTAGGTAAGGGTCTTGTATCAAGTGATGACCATTCAGGTAAATAAGATGAACCAGAAAACACAAATTTCAAAGACCAATTAATCAAAATAGCATATAGACAAATGCTTTTCATACTCTACAAATAATTACTAAGATTTTAATACAAAAAAATATTTGTTTTCATTTTGATTTTTAATCATTAATTTTTTTTTCAAAATAAAAAAAAATAATTAAAGTTATGTTTGTTTAGTTAACGGCGAAATTAAGATAACACCATCACCACGTACAAATAACATTGGAATTAATCGTTTTGTTGGCTAAAAATGAGAAGAAAAAAAAATCAAGTTAATAAATGGAAATTGAATTTTGAAATTTACTCGATAAATTTGCTCAAATGTTTCTTCATCGATTTCAATTGTTGTTATTGTTTCTTCAACTTCACCTAATACCATATTTAAATGTTGATCAAAACCCTAAATTTATTAAAATTAAACGATGAAAATTATTTTTCTACATTTTAATTTTACATGAAGACGACCGCGTAATTCCCTTTCATTACGCATTTTAACAAGAACTCTTTCATCAAGACTTAATCGAACTAAGTCAAGTGGCTCTTCAATTGATGTTGTTGGTTTCTATATTCATAGAAAAATATTTGAAAATTAATCAAATTAATTACAGAAATTTTACCTGCTCAGCTTCATCCCCCATTTCTTGTTGTTTATGAGGTTTCAGATATTGTCATGTCAAAATTAGTGACATCTATCTAAATAATTTCATAATCTTTGAATAAAATAAAGAATTCAACAAAAATAAAATTTCAAGTAAAAATTTATCATTTTTTTTTCATAAATGATTTTTTGACGATTAAATATTGATTTTTTGATTGGAAGAAATTTAACAAAAAAGAGAAAATAAGGAGGATATAGATAAATGACACAAGACCAACATGGCATTAGCATTTTCGTATAGAAAAAAAAAAGATGAAATGAAACATGCTATTTTAATGGTAAATAATTTAGATGTCTCGAATGGTGTCTATTAACGGTAGTGACAAGACATAGACAACGAGAAAGAAATATATTTAATCTTGCCGTGGCTAAAATTTGAAATCGGTTAGTTTTTTTTTTTTTTTTTTTTCTATATTTCGAATTAAATTTATTTTCTTAAGATCAAAAGTGGATCCAAGTGGATTCCAACCTAGTCTTATTGACTTGCCTGGTCCAGGTGGAATTTGGCAAGGTCCACATCCACCATCCCTACATAATCATCCAGGACGTTTTTCACTAATGCCTCCACGTGATTTGCATTTTCCGTATGATGATTTGCTTTCTTTTTTTATTAATAATATGTGTTTTTTTTATCAGACCACAACATATGAGACAATTTCGACCGTCATTTCCTCCTCCGACTTCACCAGAATATCGTATATATGATTTAAATAAACGTTTATCCATGAGAACAGAAGTACTAATTACGCAATTAATTTCTTTGTAAAACTATATATAAGAATATTTTTTTTTGTAGGATTGTGATAGTCTTTGGTGGGATTCATTTGTAAATGAATTTTTTGAAGATGATGCAACATTATCAATATCAATATGTTTAGAAGATGGACCAAAACGATTTAGTATGAATATTTTATTTGTTTCTTTGAAATAAAAAAATAATTATTTAATTTAAAGATATTGAGCGTGTTTTAATACCTCGATTTTTTCGTACATTATTTGAAGGTGGTGTTAGTGAAGTTTATTTTTTATTAAAACAATCAAAAGAAATATTTCATAGTCCAACTATATCAATTGATTGTGAACAAGGATCATTAATAACATGTTTTGGAAAACCATCATTTATTAAAGTAAGAGAAAAGAAAATTTTTAAAAATTTTTTTTATTATTTTTTTCTTTAGGTCTGTACTGAAGGACATTTTAATATTGAATTTACATTTGATGATTTAATGCGTATTAAATCATGGCATTTTGCTATAAAGCACCATCGAGAACTAATTCCACGAAGTGTTGTTGCCATACCGGTATGTAAAACACACAACGATTATTTAAATTAGATCTTAACAAGTGTAAAACTTTTGAAAGATAATCATTCCTATGCGCTATAACAATTGAATATTGCTTTAGTTTAGTAGAATACGAAAGTTCGCTTCGTGGGTATTCGCTAGAGAATAACATTAAAGTACACTTTTTTTAAACCTTTGAGAATGGCTCGACAGTGTTTACACTTCCAAAAAAGGAAATTACCGACCCATAACAAGGTAATTTCTACGGAATTTTCCTATAAGATACTTTCTAGTATGTTTGTAATTTTGGTAACTTCCTTTTTTCCAAGGTCTGAATGTTCGTCTTTCAAACGACTATAAAATGCTGTATTCCTGCATTAAATTTTATCGAGTGTGAATGTAGGTGAATCTAAGAAAATTATTCACATCGTTATAGGATGTTGAGCCGGAACTATATGGATTATGTAGGTTCTAATGAGCTATGATTGTTGTGAAAACAGTTCGAACCGTTGATTTTTTTATTGTGAAGATCTTTCGTTTTTATAATATTTTGTAAACTCAACTTCGTGAAACTTCTGGATAAGTCAGTATGAAATGTTGATGTGTAGCCTAGGAAAGCGACAGACCTTAATGATAATATGCTATTGTGGAAGCTTTATACCATCTGATCTTGCTTCTATATTGAAACAAAATGATGGTGTATAAAAGTAATGTAAAAGATACACTATTATCGTAGTCATAACTTAGGATAGGAACAAGAAAAAGATCTTTAACTCTCACAATAAGCTATTCTCATTAAGCTCCATTTCTGCAAAACTTCGATTTCAAAACTTGTTTTCCTAAATTCACAGCAATGAGCCAATGGTAGAACTCTTTTCAGAATATTTATAGCTCATTAGAATCTATATAATACACATAGTAGATGGCTCAAAGTGATTATTCAATTCGAAAACTTTTCTTGTTGAACATGGACATAACAAGTTTCGTAGAATTCTGAATAGACTGTTGAGTTTGTTTATGTCATCGTCATTATGATTAAAAAAAAACTAAGTAAGAAAAATTTATGTTTAGACCGATAGCCCAATTTATCTTGATCAATTATCAAAAAATCTCACTCGTAATGGATTAACCTCATCAACGTTAAATTTTCTCAGGGTATAATTTAGTTTTATTCTATTTAGAAAATTAATTTATCATATATGTTTTAGTTATGTGAAATTCTTGAACCAATGCAAGAATTAATGTCTCGTCATAAAACTACAACATTTTCTCCACGTGATTGTTTAAAAACAATTTTACATCAACGTTGGTCAAAAACTTGTTCAGGTAAATAAAATTTAAAAAAAAAATTGGAGAAAAATTTTTATTCATAAGTTTTTCAATCTTTAGATAATCGACAAACAGCAAAACCAAGACGAAAACGAAAATCTGCAGCAGTAAATAATACTAATATGCCGCCTACTAAAGATTCCAATATAAATAATTGTACAACACCAACAAAAAAACGTTCACCTGCTAATAATGTTTATCCTCAACCTTCAACACAATCAATAAATAATATGCCAGGAGTAAGAAGATCTTCATTAGTTTTTTTTTTTTTTTGGAAATAGTAAAATATAATTATAGGATGTTATGATTGTTGGTGAACCATCATTAATGGGTGGTGAAATGGATGATGAAGATGAACGTTATATAACACGACTTGAAAATACACAATATGATCCAAATGCTCTATCATCACAATATCATTCTCCAATGCATCAAATGTCTCAAGGATATCAACAAAATCCTAATCTTCAATCATTACTTCATCATAAACAACAATTTATACCGAATTCTTCTCAACTTTTAAATCCAAATCAAATTAAACGAGAACAATTATCATTTCCTGGATCACCACAACAACAACAACAGCAACAACAATTACCATCAATGTTTTCAAATAATCCACCACCATTAACACCAATTAATGGTGAATTATCAATTAGTGGAAAAAGAACTTCAGCTACAAATAATAATTCTCCACAGGCACCTTCAGCCAATAATTATAATCAGGTTTGAATTTATAGATTCGTATTTTTGTTACTTAAGAGTTAAATCACAATAATTCGTATGAAAATGTTCATGTCAAATTGTTCGGAGGAACTATATTTTTTTTTAATTGGAAAAGTTGTTGATAAAATTTATCCAATAGTGATTAAGGATGTAAAGCTAATAAATCAAAAATTGAGAATGTGAACATGCCATATGTGTCTGAATAATGATTAATGATTGATAAGAAAACTGTTGAGTTTGAATATGAGATGTTTCTGTAAATTTGCCTTATACGCATATAATTTAGTTATTTAAGGATGTTTTTCTGAATAGACATAGCTGTGCAAGAACAAATAGCTAAATATTCTACAAGCTGAGATAAAGAAAAGTTCAACATTAATTACTTCACAAGAAGTTGAAAAAAAAAACAATCGAGAAATAAGATTGAATGTTCGTAGTTTGAAAAAAAAAATTTTTTGAATATAGCCTCCCTTGAAAAAATAGTTCATCGAGTATAGCATTTATTTAATAGTTATTTTCTGAGTAAAATTTCGAGTGAAGTATATTAAATCATTATCAAAACATTATTCCAATTTTGAAGTATCTATAATTCACAACATTTCGAATGTATTATATCATAGGTATCATTTTACTGAGAAAATTTCGAGATAATCCGATAATGTCCTGATATGAACTCTAGAATAGCAATTATTTTTATGAATGAATAATATTTATTTGCAGAGGTCACCGAGTTCGAATCCAAGAGACTGTTGAAAATATTCTCTGAACTGTTTGAATAATTTCTATTGTGTTATTACAATATCATTTCTACAGCAGAACAACATTTTTTGGACAGGTCAGTTCTAATTACTGAACTATTGAAACAGCACAAGATCGACATACTACTTTTTTCTGGTTGCCAGTATACATATTTTTTTCTATTGTATATATGTAACCATAGGACTCATTTAACACGTGGCATCAGCACCTTCAAAATGGTACGATTTCGTTTTTAGATTCAGATCTACTTTTAAAAAAAGTTGAGAATACATATAAACTTAAAGTCAAATTTGAAGTACTTTTATTTTTCTATTGAATAGAAGGCTATATCAAAGAACAAATTGTTTCATTTTGTAGCTGTTGAAGAGATGCGTGGAATAAGCTCTACGATTGCTTATTTACGGAAGAACTGGAAAGTATTCAGCCTATCAGAGAAGAATACTTGCATTCATTCTCTATAAAATAGACGACTCGTCATTAACTGCATGTCTTATTAATCTTTTCGCTCCTATTATCTCATAGAGAATGTGCAGTGAAATTTTGTGGAAAGCTGAGAACAGGAAATATCACTATTTACACATGGAACAGTAGTCAGTCCAGTGTCGGTATGGGTTTCAGACCAACTGGTCGCTGATAGAGTTCCGCGATTGCACTTACTAGAAATGAGAAAAGAGCAGCTCCCGTCCGGTTCTCAATATATCATTTGAAATCAAAACCGTTAAATCATCAAATAGATTCGAAAATTGTAAATCTTTTTTGAGATATTTTCACTATTGAAATTAAAGACGTCACATATTTCAATACTTAAACAAAACAATATATACTGAAAGATTTTATTCCAAGAGTTTTTTTTTATCTATCTGATAATTTAATGGCTTCAAAATATGTTTCTTCAGTATCATCTTATCTGTGACCTAGTCCGTTGAAATAGATTTTTTGCTTATTTAATCTTAACTTTGAAATGAATAATGATTCTTTCATATTTATTTCGGATCTTTCTTTTGCTGTTTCAGAATTGTTCAACTCCAGCTTCTTCAACTACGAATGCTCCAAGCACTCCAATAAATTCCTCTTGGAATGGTTCTGCTGCAAATACTAATAATTATTCTTCATCAACAACTAATCCAGGTATAGCTGAGAAAAAACAAGAACCTCATACACCACCAGTCACATCACAACAAACAATAATAACAGCCTCATAAAAATCAATCTCTTCTATTTTCTCATTTTGAAAAGAAAAAACCCAATTATATTTCTTTTCTATCTCTGTAAAAAGTTCTTTTTTTTTGCGATGTCATTAGTCTAGATGTCTTCTTCTTTTTTTTCTCTAATTTGTACATTTATTGTTTTCCTCCCTTTCTTTCGATAACATCTTTCGTTTTTTTTCTCTCCATGCGCATTCCAAAGATCTGTCTGTGAGTTTCAAACTGATATCGTTTAATTAATTCGATAGAACAACATTTAAATTTCCTATTTCTTTCTTCATTGCATTTTTTTGTGTATGTGTTTTTAATGCTTTATGCATTCGTATGTGTCACAAATAACAGTGAATATACAAATATTCTCTCTCTTTTCTTTTTTTGTCATTTTTCTCAATGATAATGTACGAATGATGATGTTTGTTTTTGTTTTTCTATTATCTTTATTTAAAATTCTTATACATACGAATATATAAAATAGCATCTATTGATGTTTGCTTTTCTTTTAGATGAAACTAAAATAATAATTAAAGAAAAAAAAAACATCATACTTTCAGATTAAAATTTACTATGGCTGATGAACAAGATCTTCTTGATTATGATGAACCTGATGAAGTACCACGAAAAGAAGATAAAAATACTAATAATGGTGTAACATCAATACAAAATGGAAGTTCAACTGGTACACAAAGTGGAGCAATACGAGGTTCATATGTATCAATACATGCTAGTGGTTTTAAAGATTTTCTTCTTAAACCTGAATTACTTCGTTCCATTATGGATTGTGGTTTTGAACATCCATCGGAAGGTTTTATATGAAGACAAAAAAAAAAAAAAACATTTTCAATACAAAACTATTTATTTATTCTATAGTTCAACATGAATGTATTCCACAAGCTATTCTTGGTACAGATATTGTATGTCAAGCTAAATCTGGTATGGGTAAAACAGCTGTTTTTGTACTTGCAACACTTCAACAACTTGAACCTGTTGATGGACAAGTAAAATAAAAAGAAAAGAAATACAATTTATTTCATATAATAAATTAAATATTATTCTAGGTATCAGTAATTGTTCTTTGTCATGCACGTGAATTAGCATTTCAAATAAGTCGTGAATATGAACGGTTTTGCAAATATATGCCAGCCGTTAAAGTATCGGTATTTTTTGGTGGTTTACCAACTAAAAATGATGAAGATGTTTTAAAAAAAAATTGTCCACACATTGTTGTTGGTACACCTGGTCGAATTTTAGCATTAGCTAAAAGTAAAGTACTTAATTTACGTTATGTCAAACATTTTGTTATTGATGAATGTGATAAAGTACTTGAATCACTTGGTATGCATAGATTGTATTAATTCATAACGAAAAAATTCAATTTTAAATACATATAGATATGCGTCGAGATGTACAAGAAATATTCAAAATGACACCACATGAAAAACAAGTCTTAATGTTTAGTGCAACATTAAGTAAAGATATTCGACCGGTGTGTAAGAAATTTATGCAACAAGTAAGTTCTTTTTTTTTTTTCTATATTATTGTATTTGTAATAAATGTATTATTTTATTTTTCTAGCCAATGGAAATTTATATTGACAATGAAACTAAATTAACACTTCATGTAAGTTTTATTAAGAAATATGTACATCTCTGCTAGGAATGTGGGAAGTCAAGGCGTTTTTTTTTGGTTTCGGTAGATTTAATCTAGCTCCGATCTAGAGAAAACTGGTCCAAAATTTATTCCTATTACATCTAAAAAAAAACTCTTCAATACTTGTTTTTTTGGTATTAAGTTTATGTAATCAACGGTAATTTCCATTTTCGCCGAATTCCAACTTCACTGAAAGAATTTTTCGCTGACGGAGACATTGGAATGAGTGCACATGTGGGTGTAGGTGTAAGTGTGGGTGTAGGTATACGTGTGAGTGCGTGTGTAGGTGTGGGTGTGGTTCAGGGTCATTAANTTTGTTCAAACTGAAAAACTTAATGTTTCTCTCGTAAACTAGATTGTGGCCCACAGTACAGTGGCTCTTGGTGTAGTATATCAGGTGCACCAGGAAAATTGTATTATGGTCGAGGTTGGTTTCAGCTCTCATGGCCATGTAACTATTACTCTGCCGGTCAGTCTCTTGGCGTTGATCTTCTTGCAGATCCAGATAAGGTCGAAAATGATCCTCAGGTAGCGGTAAGCACGGCTCTCTGGTTCTATGATGCAAATGGTATGGCTGCGCCAGCTCAAATAGGTGATTTTGCTTCTACGACGCGCCTCATCAACGGCGCTATCGAGTGTAATAATGGACCAGGTTATACTAATCAATTGACCAGAGTAGAGACCTACAAACGTGTACGTCTATGCTTCAACCTTGGAGCACCTACGATAAATCCCGTCTGCTAAACTCTCTTCTTTGGCTTTTGCCTATTCTTAAAGACATTTTATTGACCTAAAAAACATCTCAATTCAAACTGAAACTTGTGTTTTTTTATGGCAATCGTTTGTCCTAAGTATTCGATCACTCTTTCTTTCGGTCTCGATGCTACTACTTCCAGTCTTATCTTTTTTACTTTTTATCAGTCTCTTTGACTTCTGCATTTCTACTACTTTTTTTTGTAGATAAAACAAAGAATTAATGTGCACGTGCCTTGTTAAACACTATTTCTGAAAATAACACTACACTGCTCATTTCGTTTTTTATTCGATAGCATTTCTATAGAAAATTTTATGACATAAAAAGAATTCATGTTTCGTATGATTCTACTTGAAAAAGAATAAATAGTTCAAAACACTATCTGATGCTGTGTATATGAGTATGTGGCAAATGTAATTTCCTACAAACAGCATCAAACTATAATAGTTTAAACTTATCTTCAATAATACTGTTAATTTTCTGTTGATAGTCAAGCAATAAGAAATTTCGACAAAGAACAAATAAAACAAACTGTTCAGTTTCTAGAACACTCTTTTTGCGTTTTCTTCTTTGAGGAAAATGTTCGATTAAAAGCAGATTTCTCTATTAAAAACATCATTAATAAGGCATGAACAGTCATCGTTTTTATTTACTCATGAATATTCTTGACGACAATAAATCATCTGCAAATATGATCTCAAAAACACAAAAACCTAAATACAAATCTCAATACAGCATAAAGTGATAAATATAAAATTTTGTGTATTGCATTAGCAACCGAAACAATTGAATATGAAGATTTTAACTATATCTTTAAAGATATAATGTGTAAGCAAAAAACACTTGAACTAATGCGACAACTTCAAATAACCTATAATATTGATATAAAGCATAATTGAGAACATAAAAACAACATTTGTTGTCTGTTATTCTGATTTTATAACTCAAGGACTCATTCGAACGAATTAATAAGATTATTGTTTCTCGTCAAGTATGTCTGGTAGAATCTGTCGGGTTGGTCCCGGATCCAAAAACTTTAGACGCAATGTGCTCTACTCTGCACACTTCTCAAACGAATCATCTGAGAAAATGTAGAATATACTAGTCACCGAATATAAAAAACCGGAAAAAATAATCTTGCATCTTCGGAATGGTTATCCTATTCTAATTAGAAAATTTCATTGAAAGTATCAACTACAGTTCGAGCGGGTCCGGATCCGAAAATTTTGAGCCCGACGGAATCTAGCATATAATAATATGTCTTGACCCATATTATTTCAATGACTGTTAATTTTCAATATTTGATATTCTCTTCACAGAGATATAATTTGAAAATTAACAGAAAAAAATTCATTGCTAGTAATATTTTCACAGCCAAATTCATTTTGTTTGTATTTGATGTTCTTAAACAATCCAGAACTTCTGACTAATCATTAGTCTTAATATTTTTTTGCATAAAAATATTTCATCAGTATCAACTATATCTTTAATTGCTCAAAAAGTTTGCTTGATTTTTATTTTCTCATCTGTATCGTTTTCTTGATGAATATGTGTGTACATGCTCAGTAAAATTTTCGAGACTAGCATCTGAAAAAATCTATATGATAGAACATGACATATATTTACAGATGACTAACGACTAGAAGCGTTTAAATTAATACTTCATCACATTTTGTTAAAGTTGTTTAATATTTTTGTGTTTTATCAAGTTCTTTGTATAGTTTTTTAATGATTTCATTTTCTATTTGTTTCTCTATTTTGTTTTTCCCGATATAATATATATTTATATTCAATATAATAAATTTTACTTTGTCGTAGTACGACGAAATGGATAAATATTAGGAACTATTAACCCTTTGAGGACGGGAAGCCTATATATAGGCAGCGGTTCTCGATTGACTTGTAACGCACTTGAATATGTCTCTCATTATATAGTGGTGATCTACATTTAGTGCAGACTATGGATTCTTCACCACTGATGTGATGCTACACCACCATATGTATTGTATCCTGATACACCTTTCTAGCAGAGATATTATTGCGAAGTTTCGAGAACGTGATCTTTTTGAAAATTAATCCCGTCCTCAAAGGGTTAAAGTAACAATCTTTTTTTTGCCTAGCAATGAGAGAAATGAATGATAAAAACAACGAAAATTTTTCTCATTATGCCAGCATTTTATAATAGAGATGATTTTTCAACGCTGTACTAAAATCATAATATCATTTAATGTAGACTTAAACTGTAACATATAAAACATATTTCTAAACAGATCCCCAACTACAATATGATGATCATTTCTTTTAATGTTATTCGAATAAAAAAAATAGATTGTTGAAATTCATTGATATAAAATAACCGAAAGTACTGCTTTTTTTCAAATGGATTGCCGTGAGTCTTTCGAGCATAAAAATTCTTTGTTAAACAGCTCGATATATGAATTGTAAAAAAAGAAATAAGCCTTAGAAGACGTTAAACCAAAACAATTAATGTAGTACACTGTTTACTAAATGAGAAAAGTACTATTATCTTAACGAGTAACACATTCCTCTTTGATACTAATGTCATGCTGATCTTCAATAAATAGAGCTATATAAATAATGGATGACAATAATTAAAAAGAAATATCCAAAACAGCATGAATTGAAATAATTTTAAGAAGAAACCAGCTTATTTATGACGATTTTCAACCATTATAAATAGCCTAGAGTTTTTTGTAAATTCTTGTTGTTCAACTAGAACGTATATATTTGTAGTTAGTAAATACATTTATCATCATGAATAAAGCATATTTTAACTGTGTTGATGGTAAACAGATCTATTTTTCATCTGCAAAGTTCTAAACTATGAAATTATAATAAGTAGAGCGAAATTAATCTGGTAACAAGGATCAGAATAACTAATTCTTATCAAATATTTCATATTTGACTTATAGATGTCTATTAAGTAATATATATTTTAATATTAATTGCAAATTTTATTGTCATGTTACTGAATAATTTCAACGACATTGTTAGTAATAAAAAGAATAGCGCAGACAAGAAAAGAACTTCACTTATATTTTTTGATTCAAACACATATCAAAATATGAAAAAAAGATAAAATTAATCGAACAAGTATATGCACATATGAGAAAACAACACAGATTTTGCTTTGGCTGAATACAATAGATTTGTAACAAAAAACGAACAGATGAATATACAAAATACTATCATTCTGAAGTAAAATTAACTAAAATACATAGAAATTCACACCACAATATTAACCGTATATAAATATTGCAATAGACGGATGAGTAAGGAATTGCGATATGAGCTGTTAAAAATAAATATGGAGATTAAAATGATATATTCACACGTTTAAGTCGTTCAAGTACTTGGGTAAATGGTGGTCGTCGATCAGAGTCACCATGCCAAGCTTGACGCATAATATCACCAATTTCTGTTGGACAACCATCTGGTGGTACCATTCGATATCCCTGTTTTAAATTGATCAAAACATCATCAGAAGGCTACAAAATACAAAATTATTTCAAACGTTTTTTTTTTCTATGAATTGTTTTCTTTACTATACGAGGATAAGGACATCGTCCGTAAGAAAATATTTCCCAAAGAAGAATACCATAAGACCACATATCACTTTTATGTGTATATTTCTATAGAAAGCAAAACAAAAAAGAAGTACACAAGTTTGTTTTGATACAATAAAACATGTTACTTTTGACTCAAGTACTTCAGGTGCAGTCCATTTTGTTCGACATTTTATTTTTTCTGTAATAATATTATTTCCATTTTCTTTTCCTGATGTATCTAAGGATTTAGCTAAACCAAAGTCTGATAACTTAGCTGTGTTATCATCAGCAATTAATACATTGCTTGCTGCAATGTCCCGATGAACAATATGATTTTGCTCCAAATAAGATAAACCTTCACATGCATCACTAAACCAAGAAACAATCAAATAGATTAAAATACTTTTCATGAAAAAATACAATCATCAGTATTTAACTGTTTTTTTGATCATTCATTTTTGTCATAGGGAATGGCAATCATTTACAGTTCAAATCATCATCTGATTGTTTGTTTTTACTATATAATTGAGTATTAAATAATATTCTTTTAGTAAATAATTTCCTAAGAGTTCATGTGTAACATATCATCTCTACACATTAAGTCACACAAGCAGATAAATCTATTCCCTTAGAAGCCTTTTCAATATGATAGAAATATTGACATGTGATAGTTTGATGTCAGTTCAACAAGGTAGTTTTTTACTGATATAGACTGACGAGGAAGTCTTCCCAACTATTCAATCACTTTTTGTTTAAGACTATTGTGAATGTGGGTCATGATGAGTAGTAAAAAAAGTTTGTTGTCATTTGGTTTTCAGATCTTTGCTTATTGAGCTAAAGTGAGGATGTTTCGAGTCACTATACATCCCATCTATGAACGACGTTTCGGCTCGAAATTCAATCATTCAGGTTCTCAGTGATTCTATACTTAAACGCACCAAAAATTGAGTACAACAGTCATAAGTGAATAAGCAATGATCAGCAAACCAAGTCAAAACAGACTTTTTCACAACTGATCATGACCGACCAATTTGGCAATAGTCGCAAATAAAAAGTGATTGGACAGTTGCTAATGTTCCATTATTAACTTATACAAATACATCATTTAGTATACTTACTGAAAACGATCATTTCAGTTCACCTAACTTTACGATTTTCTAAAGATTTTTTCTTTCGACATCTGCTATGACAATATTAATTTTTCAAATTAGTCATATCAAGGAAAACAATCATATTCTTTCAGTAAGAAAATAATACTGTTCTGTTTTAATAATAAATAGAGTTTAAACTTTAGACTTTATCTTGATAATTGATATAATGCTTTAATTGAAAAGAAAAAAACTTACATAGCAAAACCAACTAAATCGCTTTGAGAAATCACTGATCTACCACGCGTTGTTAAATAATGAAGAAGTGAACCTTTAGTCATGAATTCAGTAACTAAATAGATAACATTATCTGATTTTCGAGCTATGCCCAAAAGTTGCACGAGATTTCGATGTTTCAATGAACTTAATATATATTCATTTAATAGACAATGAATTAATACAGAAAAACATAAGACATACCTCATTATATCAGCTTCATGAAGAAAGTTTGTGGTAGAATTTGGTTCTTTTAATATTTTCACTGCAACACGAGATTTTCTGTATGTCCCTTCATAAACTTCTACAAGAAAAAAAAAACCGACATCAATCACAAATACTTACAAAAAAATCTCACTTACCAGCAAATTCTCCAGATCCAACAAGTTTTCCAATTTGCAATTCATTATAATCAATCATTGATGATGTTGGCGATAAAACCGTTACAGTAGGCGGTACTATTTTTTCTATTTTCATCGAATCAATAGTATCGCGCTTGTTACTCAAAGGTTTTTCTAAACGACAGCATAGACCATCAGCATCAAATCCATAATGCTAAAAAAAATGCGTAAAATTTTATTCAATAGAAATCGACATAATCATCAAACCTGAACAAGTAGATGAAGATTAGGAAAGAATATTTCATCATCAATTGTATAAGTTTCATTTATTAAATCATATTTAATTCTATAATGTTGAATTTTCGTTTCATCTTTAATTGATAATGTTAAATCTCCTGGAAAATGTTCACTTTCACGTATAAGAAATGTTCCAATACATTCATTATTAAGTAACTGTTCAGCTTGTATTCGTGGTAATTTACCAAAATGCCAACTATATGATTTTCTAGATGTATTCATTCAATTTTATATTCAATAAATTAAAGTAAAAAATACCATACGTTCCAGCTACTAAATTTTCATCTATCTCACCACTGGAAAAAAAATAATCATAATTATTATATTAATATTTCGTTTATTATTTTCCCAAATGGTAATTAAAATAAGCCAATGAAATTATTGCAATATAAGTCATTTATGCATTTTGAACTGTTTAGAACTAGTATCCTCCTCTGTCACACATTGATCAATTAATAAATATGGCTACTGTCAGCTGCTATACGATTGCTTCGTTCGCCGATACGGACGGACGCATTATATATTGATTGATGAATGAATGACTCTTTTGTTTTCTTATCTGACATTGTAGATAGATTCGATTTATATATATAAATATTAATATAATAAAATAGAACAAAACAATTATGATCTAAAAGTAAACATTAAAAACATTTCCTCGTTGTTTTTTTTTACAACTCCATTCATTTATATTTTTTCTTAAATAGAAAATGTTTAATAACAGTAACGGTAATAATCGTTCTACCACTGGTGGTAGTTACGACTTTAGTGTTAACGATGTTTGCGATCGATTAGAAAAAGAATTTACTCATATGCAAGGTGAACGTGCACAATTACGTATTGAATGTGAAAAATTAAATGCAGAGAAAAATGAAGTACAAAGACAATATTGTCTCTATTATGAAATGGCATACCGTTTATCATATGAAATGCATAAACAAACCGAAATAACAAAACGTTTAATTGCATTACTTCACCAAATCATTCCTTATTTGACACCTGAACAACAATCACATGCATTACCTGCACTTGAACGTGCTAAGCAAGTTACGATGAATGATCTTAATAGGTAAATAGAAAATAATAATTTTTTTTCGTTTTTTTTCTTTTCTTTTTCTTTTTTATTGAAGTGTCATTCAACAACAATTTCATGCCCAAGCAACAGCTCTTGCACTTGCTACTGCTTCGAATCCATCAGCGTCTGGTGCTGGAATTTCACAATTATCTGGTGGCGTTCCTGGTCTTGGTTCAGCACCTCACCTTCAGTTACCCGGTCCATCTGGTCTTTCAGGTGGTGGCACTGGTCTGCCACCAGGAATGTTAAATTATACATCGGTATTAAGCAGTTTAGCTTCACAATATGCACCAGGATTTAAAGAAGAAAGTGGTTCATCGATGTCAAAAGAAAATGCATCCTCACCACGAGCAGCTAATAATGATTTATTAGCTACGAAAAATAGTAGTAGTAGTCGTTCATCAACAAATGGTAAATCATCTAAACATCGACCACCAAGTACAAGTAGTAATATATCGAAACCAATAAAACAATCAACAGCTGAAAGTGATGGTGAACGTAGCGAATCAGATTTAGTTATTGATACAAGTGTTGGTGGAAATCAAAAGCATATTAATGGTAGTAGTCATATGGGTAGTGGTCTTCTTCTACCAAATGGTATTAAATCAGAAATAACTGATAATACAACTGGTTCAGGAAGTGGACCTGGTAATGAATCAATGCCTGCAACACCACCAGTGTCGGCACCAAATGGTGGTGGAAGTTCATCAAGAAGTCGACGCGATCGAAGTCCTATGTCGGATAAAGATAGTTCACAACGTGGTAGTTCATCATCCGCAATTAAAAAAGAACGAAATACTCCACAACCAAATAAAGCAATGACACCAATTACAGGAGGTTCATCAAATGTTGTTGCAGCTCAAATGCCACCAGGTGGACCGTTAAGTATGCCGCCGGGAATGGGTGGTTCGCGTTTACCACCAAGTGCTGCATTTGGGTAGGATGAAATCTAATTATTAAAATTTTTCATAACTCGTTTTTCAGTTTTAATCCGGGTCCATTTTCTTCACCTGAAGCATTGGCAGCTGCAGCTGCTTTTGGTGCACTCGGTCCACATCATGCAAATGCATTAAATCCATTTGGTCCATTCGCTCATCCATTTGCTTCACCGGAAGTTGCTCAAGCAATGGCTATGGCAGCACAACATCAACATGTTCAACAAATGGCTCAAGCACAAGCTGCTGCAGCAGCTCAAGCAGCAGCGGTTGCAGCACAACGACAACAACAGCAGCAGCAACAACAACAACAACATGGACCAACTAATCATCATAATCAATTCATGAATCAAGCATATTCATATTTTACAACATCTGATGGACAAGGAAATCCTGTGACAACACCTGTGAATATGACACCTGAAGCATTAACAGGTCCTAATATACCAACATCAGCTCGTGAACTTGCTACCTTAATGCATGGAGAAGTTGTTTGCGCTGTTACAATAAGTGAACCATCCAAACGTGTTTATACGGTAAATATAAAATAATAATAATAAAAATTTTTCTTTTCATTTTTCTTTTCGTAGGGTGGTAAAGGTTGTGTTAAAGTTTGGGATCTTAAACAAACTGGTACAATTCGAACTCCATTATCTTATTTTAAATGTCTCAATGATGATAGTTATATACGTTTTTGTAAATTACTTTCTGATGATCGTACACTTATTGTTGGTGGTGAAGCAAATATAATATCAATTTGTGATTTATCAGCAGTTACTGGTGGTTCGGCAAGTAATACACGTTCGTCAACACCAAATTCTAATACATCATCGCCATCATCAAATCATCCACCATCATCAACATCACCAAGAATTAAAGGTGAACTTAAATTAAATGCACCTGCTTGTTATGCACTTGCTCTTGGTCCATCGGATTCAAAACTTTGTTATTGTTGTTGTTCAGATGGTTCAATTGCTATTTATGATATTCATAATCAATCATTAGTTAAATCTTTTGTTGGACATAGTAAGCATTTTGTATATGATTTCATTTAACATTTACTTATTTATTTTTATTTTAAAGCTGATGGTACATCATGTATTGATATAGCACCAGATGGTCGTACAATGTGGACAGGTGGTTTAGATAATACAGTTCGTTGTTGGGATCTTCGTAATGATTATGCACCATTACAAACATATGAATTCGATTCACAAATTTTTACATTGGGTTATTGTCCAACAGGTGAATGGCTTGCTGTTGGTATGGAATCATCAACAGTTGAGTTAATTAATATATCATCAGCTATGAGTAATGCAACAAGTCCATCAATGAAAAAAACTCATGATAAATATACACTTAGTTTGCATGAAAGTTGTGTTTTAGCACTTAAATTTGCTCATCAAGGTAAATGGTTTATATCCGCTGGTAAAGATAATTATATACATTGTTGTCGGACACCAACTGGTCTTCTTTTATTTCAATCGAAAGAATCATCAAGTGTACTTTGTTGTGACATATCAGCTGATGATCGATATATTTTAACAGGTTCAGGAGACAAAAAAGCTACACTCTATGAAGTCACATATTGAATTCTTATCTGTTTGTATGTGTGTGTGTATGTCTAATGATCTTTTTCCTTTTTCTCTCAATGTTGTTTGTCAATAGTGACTGTATTCTGTTTTTTTTTTCGAAAAATCTTTTTCTCCTTTCATTCTCCATCTTTTGTATATATGTAAGACTAGATTGGTAGTAGAATCGATCTGCATTATGTTTATTTCTATTTTACAAATAGATAAACACATACGTTTCATTTTCTCAATTGTACTTTGTTGTGTTTGCTCGCATTCTTGTGTGTTGAAATGTCTACTACTATAAACATTCATCGTCTTATTTACATATGTATTTGTCAATGAATTTAATCTGGAGGATGATCGTCAAAAAAAAAATTTAATTAAAAAAATTTTTTTTGGAATGATAGATCTTTAAAAGGTAAATCAAGAAAGTTACTGTTTGCGTAACACTTTATAAAAGAAGTTTAAAAAAACTATCAGCTGTTAATATCAGTTTTCCTTTCATTGTATTATTCTCTTGTCTTTTATTTAAATAGAATGGCTATAATTTCTATGGCCAAATCTAACAATGATAAATATCTACTTTATCTTTTATGTTACAATCAAATTTTTAATACCAATGTAGTTTCATTAGTAATGACAACGACTTCATCTAACTTAACGTCCTTCACGCTTATATCCCTTCAAGTATATTCTTGATTACGAATCAAGAATATTTCTACGAGCAAATAATGTTTTTTTTTTCTAATCATTAATTGCAATAAGTGTAATACAAGTACTTTTATTTGTATTTAAATCATATTCCGTCTTCTTTTTTTAAAATCATTATTATCTACGTCTTTAGGTGCAGACTGTAAATGAATATCTTATCAGTTAGTATGTCGTTGTTAATGGATCTCTAGTTCTGATGACTTTTTCGTTTTGCCTTCGTCTTGCTTTTTGGATAATTGATCAATTGGCAAACGCATATATATACTGATGTGCATAAATATTGCTCGTTCGTCAAGCTCCTGCTATAGGTTACATTTGTACACATTTATGCAGGAAATGAAGAAAGAAAAAAGATTACGTACAAATGACGACGGCATCAACATCAAGCAAGGCTATTGCTCGTTCCCTTTTTTTTTTCATGCACTAGTAATCGTCTCGTGTGCTGGTTCAATGACCGTAAACGTATACAAATGTGGAATAGGAGATAGGAGAGAAAAAGAAAAAGTATATGAGCAAGTTGGTATGCAACGATGTCAAGCATATTGTTAGCCTTGATTACGTGTGTGCACAAGCGCACACTGTAAGGTAGTAAGCGAAACGTAGAGACAAGGCAAAGACAAACAAGACAGAAAAAAGACACAAGAGTGCTGCGCATTGTTCGCAACGCTCCATTGACAATTCTAAAAAAAATGTAAGTCGAAATGATATATTATTAGGATGAATTTTCTCTTATTTCCTATTATTTCAGGACTAAATATTAGCCGGCATGCATGATCTCCAACATGCACTGCCGGCCATCCTGTCCTACTAATGATTCTACCTGTTCTTCATTCCTTTTCACTCATCCAGATTATGCTAACACAATAAATCATCACTCTTGTTCTCCTTCATCTTATCATGATCAAGTACCACCACCACCACCACCACCACCACCACCACCACCGCCAACGCCAACGCCAAGACGTCGTCGACGATTAGAAGATCTAGTTATTACTTATGCTTCAAATTATTATGCTACGTATCCTTGTCAGACGTCTTCTTTATCATCACAAGTTCCTCCTCTGCCACCACCTCGTCGAATTTATCAGCAATGGACGGATGACGACGCCGTGGCTGATGATCATTTAACGTATATTTCCTTCTNCGTTTGATCGATTTATGTCAATGCAACGAATTGTCCGTGCAACGAATTGTCCGTGCAACGAATTGTCCGTGCAACGAATTGTCCGTGCGACGAATTGTCCTGCGACGAATTGTCCGTGCAACGAATTGTCCGCAACGAATTGTCCGCGACGAATTGTCCTGCAACGAATTGTCCGGTCACCCTTTGATGATGTGTCTTAGCGAGTTTTGCTATTTAATGCCTATTTTTACCCTATCTGCATTCACCTTTATGCGCATTCAGTAATTATGTTTTTATTTACTGTAGCATTCATAGATAAAATACGCTGAAGAATTGAAGCAATTTTGTTGATAGTGACGGTAGAAATCTAGCAAGAAGTGATACATTTGCATATGTAAATGATATCTACGGCACTCATGGATGTAACGAGTGATGAATAATTTCTAGTAATGACTAATTTCTAAAAGCAAAGTATAGCTCAAAATTGTTACTTAAATAATTATCAAAAAGTATCGAAAATGAGAATAGTCATCAGTATAAAACTCTCAATTGAAAAGTACAATAAAATATGTTTCTGACTCATATACTGATAGATAAGTAAGTTTTATTTTGTATGATGATATTATACTGTTCTTCAGTGGCTAATCACATTACTTGAAAAAATAATCTATATTAAAATATTAATATTATGATTTTTTTGGAAGATTTTCAAACAGATGATGTTGAAATTTAATGAATCAAACGAATGAGACAATCCCGCAGATAGATGAACATGAAACTGATTCCTTAAACAAAATAGCATGTAGAATTGATCATTAGAGTAAATCTAAACTTTATCTTTGAAAGCTATTCAACAATGAACTCTCGAAATATTGATACCGATAGATCATGTAAGTAGCTACAAAGAAGCATTATTTAGTAGGAAATCAGTGCAAATTAAGTTCAAGAATTTCGATATTCTTAATTTATATAAAAAGGTTTATTAACAATTAACACCTTTAAATAAATCTGTTTAGTAGAGTGTGTGTCTGGATTCGGGCGAGTGAAGCGGAAAACAAGAATTACATCCACACCTTAGATAACAATGGAATTTTGGTTGTATTTTCACATGCATAAATGACACAGCGTTGCATATATATTTAATTATTTCTTCATTTTAATATCTTTATTTATATGTTACAAAATAAATGATGATTAAAAGATCGAAGGATAGGCGATTTTGAAACTAGTTTCCTCAAATGTATTGATCTATGACAACTAAATCGAATGCATACTTGACTATAAAATGATGATGGAAATTCTCAATCTATGGAAATTCAAAGATCATTGAATAATTGGATATCCTCAGTCGAATTTAAAATCGGAGTAATTTCGAAAAATTAACATGAATGCATAAGTTAGAATCAATAGTAATAACATAACAAAAACTGATTTGGATTTATATGTACATGATATTTCAAATGATCATAAATAAAGAAATATAATCCTTTTAACCTTTATAGATATTAATCCTTGTTTTTAACAAATGTTCTATATTTTTCGTTGATTGTTTTCTGTCTATCTACATGATGCTAATTTTTCCTATTGACTTATCGACAAGTGTCCCGATCAATGATTAACAGGACCAATCGTTTTTGATCTCAGTGCTGATTAGAAACATTTTTGCTTCTGATTTCGTGCTTAGTAATACATGTGCTAGCGAAAAATGCACTATGATTTTTTAGTAGTGTTAATAAGCTTGATACATTTTGCACGATCCGCATAACCTCTAATATCCTCTCTCTCTTGAAGACTCATTATTTTTTTAAAATTCTACCAATACTAAATCTATTCCACATGTTTATGTGTTCGAGAACTCTTTTGTTTACGAAAAATAGGATTGATTTTATTATCAAAATTGTAACAACAAATATTGAAGTGAGAGTTGCTGAATAATTGTCGTATAAACTTTTAGAACACATGAGTCGGAAGAATATGACATTTTACGCAAGTTTTATATAACCATACAAAATATCAGTCACAATGAAAAAGTGTTGCTCATGGCCGTATTTGGTTCCAATTCTTAATGAATAGATCTATGTAGCACAAGGTCGGGATACTTGATTCATTGCACAAGAAGATTTGCTAAACTCTTCATTGTATTTCATGTATTATCTATAGAATTTCTTATTAATTTAATATTTATTCATCAAATTTAATTATAGTTTATTTATATTACAATAAAAATCTTGATTCAATCAGCATTTTTTGATTTTACTGAATAATTCACATGTAAGTGAACTATTTAATAATCCTTGTGTTGTAAATATGATCTCTCGACCTTTTCGTACACTTATATCATCTTCTCCATATTGTTTAATCATTGTTTCACGAAATTCTTTTACTTTATCTTTATAACCCGTTGCTTCTAATTCTTTAGCTTGTCGATCAATTTCTCCCATACCATATTTGGTTGCATTTTTCATATATTGTTCATCAACATTCCATACAGTTGGAATTGTCATTAAAACTTTTTTCCATTTTTCTAATAATTTTTTATCTGTATTTTCACGAAATGCATCTTCTTTTGAACAACCAGGTTTTGTTTGCATGTCTTTTAATTGACATACATATTTTCTTGATACATGACTAAGATAAGATTGTGTATGCTTAATGAAATGTTTTAATTGACGAATTCCAAAAAATTCTGGTTTTATATAAATACGTTCGCCAGCATATTTACCTTTCTCATGAATTGATGAAAGTTCACCAAAAAGTATATGACCAAAACCACTAGGCATACCTAAAGAAGATAATCAATTAAAAATTCTCTTTTTGTTTCTTGTTTCACTTTTTATACATACAAGCACCAGGAATATCCACTCCATAAGCAGGATAATCACGTGCACGATCCGATTTTGAACCTCGTTCTCCATGATAATGTGAACTTTCATCACCACGAACATAAATAAATGTATCAGATTCAATTAAACCAGATTGATTATTTGATTTTTTTGAACTTTTAAATAATGAATGAATAGCTTGTTGACCCATATGTTTAAGACGTTTAAAATAACCTGCATGTTTTGATCCATCACCTGATTTTTGTTCATTTTTTGCTTTCATTAATCGATCAAATATTTGATTTGTTGAATCAAAAATAACAAACATACCTAAATTAAACGTTAAAAATATAATTTAATTAAATTTTCAATATCTTTTATAAAATTTGCCTTTCGCGAATGAAACTGGTTTATTATTAAGTGATGCTTGTTGAATAAGAAAATGTATTAAATTACACATATTTTCTGGATTAACAAGTTTATATGAATCAGCTTCGGTTGCTAATTGTCGAAAAAAATGTCGACCATTATTTGCTTTTTTTGCAGCAACATTAAGTTTAGATGAAACACAACATTCATTTGTTGCTGTTCGTTTTGTACGACTTTGATGATGAAACCACGCGAAACTTTCAGCTGTTAATAATAACAATACTAACAAAAAGATACTTTGTTGTATTTGCATTTTTTTTATTAGATAAATAGATACGTATACGATTAGTTGAGTGAAATGTATGAAATGTAAGAAGACTAATAGATCGATAGTTGTAAAGAATGAAGAAAGTGATAAGAATAGCAAGAAATATGATAAATCGAGAGATGAAACAAAACTCCTTTGATAGATTCAATTTTTTTCCAATTATAATTGTAAACAGTTGCTTTAATGAAGGTTTTGTTGTAAGCATATATGTTGTTAAGACGTAATTGTTTTTCTTTCTTTCTGTTTTATTTAAATATTGTACATTCAATGATATCGATGTTTTATTGATATAAGAGTTTGTTTGTATTAAAAAGTAATCATTTTGAATCTTGTTAAAATGATCTATCTAGTAAAATATGTTATTTATTGAATATCTTCTCAATGGATAAACATGTTGATCAATAATTTGATGTTTGATAGGTGGCGCATTGAATAACATATTTGAGAATTATTATGTAGAATTTAAGAATAAGCAATGATTTCTATTATTCGGAGAACCTTCAACACTTTATTTCACGTCTTAGTTAATATACTACTGATTTTCGAAAAAAAAAACAATTTCTGCGCAATAAGCAACGTTACGATAATTGATTCATAAATGATTATATTTGTATATACCATTTTATAAAACACCTATTCTCTCGTTGCTTCCATGCATCAATATTTAATTTCATCGATTCATTTTCTTTGCTAATCAAACACAGTGCAATGCCCAAGTATATAGCTTTATTCATATCTATGGATATTCATATTCGTCGTTCACTATCATTCACAGTAACGCTTGTTCAAAATTTCAATCAAGATGTGCCAAATATTGGGATTCGAAAATATTGCACAGATATGAAGAATTAGATGAATATATCCAGCTACAACATGTATGAAGATTTGACTACCTAAATACTTCCCTACGTCGAATATTCCTTGTTGCCATATCTATATTGAAAGTGCTGTATTGGATGCATTTGCATCAAACACTACAGAACCATCATTACTAAGTTTTCTTTGAGTTTAGCAAGCATTTGCCCAAAGACAAAATAGAATTTCTTTAGATAAGTTGCAATGATTGAGGTACACTCATATACACGCCACTACCGAATTGGTCAATAATTGATATTCTTGTTGCCTAACTATGCACTTTTACAAAATATTAAATTAATCAAAAGTAATTTCGCTCGAACTAATAATACATTAGGTCACTGATATATTCATCATCTAGACTTTATCTATCGATTATATACACCATCTTACTATGGTTCATCTACATCATTATTTATGAAAAAAATTATCAACAGGTTGAATACATTAGGATTGATAACTTGATTCGATTGAGAATAGAAAGCAATCGAAACTCCATTTACATAATAAATTATTCTTAAGTGACTCAAACAGTTCTATCACAGCTCATGTATCACTTGGGATGGAAGAATGGAAACGTAGAGATGATTCACAAGTAGATAAAACTTCAATGAATATTTTTGAGAAATTTATAGGGATGACGATTTTCTGTTAATTTATTTGAAGTTTAAATTTTCGCGAATATATTTTTGGATTTATTAAATTTTCATGATTGTAAATTGATCACCATAGAAACCTACAGCAGCTTTTGAACAAGATTTTTGTTGTTTTGGAATTTTATTTTAACAGAAAGTCACTGATGTTTAACATATTGAACATTATGCACGTAATAATAAAAATAATGAGTCGATAAGAAATATCTTCTCGTGATTGTTAACTTACTTAAAAAGTTTTTTAACTAAGGGATGATGATATCATAGCCAGAAATAAAATGTTTGTTGCTGTTCAATACATAGAATTTAACATGTTAACTTAACAATTGATATCAATCAGTTTACTTCTGAAAAAAAGTATTTAATAACAGTGTAATATGAGTTATATATTCCATAGTTAAATATATTCTTTATGAGGACAATGTGCCCTGAAGGCTAACTGTGATCAATTATATAATTGCCATTATTTTTTTGCATAGTTTTCGTATATTTGTTAATCATTTCCAGCTACAGCCAATAAAAATTAGAAGTCTGCTTATGGTTTTACAGTATGTTTCTTTTGAAAAATTCTTAAGTGCTAGATGATTCTTAATACCATACGATCATTTTCAACACAGATACTTTGATTCATTATCATTTCTATTTATTCGTTTTCAAAAAAGTACAAGTAGTGCTTCAAATATAAATAAACATTGAAACATTTTTGTATTCAAGCTAATATAATTTTCATATTCAGTCAACGGTTCAATATTGTACATTCATTTAGTATTTTGACAGACCAGAGTGAACAAATATTTGGCAAAACAAAGTTTACTATTAACTTTAGTTATATCTTTAATTGTGTTTTTAATTATTAATAATCAACAAATGACATCGATAAGGAAAAAAGGAAGAAACCAAAGGGCAATCTGTGATCAAGCTTCAAAAGAAACCTAATTTTATAATGTGGTATTTATATCGTGCATGATTCAATAAAACTTACTAACAATTACAGAGTATAATAAAATTATAGGCCTTCTCCCCTTTTCCATGACATATACAGACAAAAATGTTTATTTTAGTTTCATAACAAAAAATATTGATATGGTTACAGTATGGGTAAATGAAAGTACACAACCATTGTCGGGTCCTATCATTTGCTTCAATCTATCTCTCGCTATTGGAACAAAAAGTTGGACAAGAGTGAAAAATCACTGTAACATAATTGATCTCCTCTCTGATAAAAAAGTTTTATCAACTTTTACGGCACTTTTCTTCACTCACTTTCATACCTTAAATTGGGGAATAACGTTGAATTGATATTCCTAAGTATGATTCAAAGAGCTCACAGATAATTAGTTTAAATGCGTATGTTGCTTAGAGACCTGCAGAGTCATGCTCTTTTAACTCTGACTTCTAAAAAACTCTGAAAACTTGTCTTATAAATTAGCAATAGCATACTTAGATAATTTATAGTAGCGTATAGATAATCAAAATACATCTACTGACGACAAATGGAAATATTCAATGGTACTGATTTTGTTCGAAACAATCACTTGTGAAAGTTAATCTAGTCTAGATTTTTTCTTTGATTTTTCTTTGATTTTTCTTTTTCTATTTATGTTATTAGGCTTTTGAATTGATATTTTTCGTTTATTGAGCATTACAATTGTCAAAAATTAATGTTACATAAGTAAAGAATGAAATAGAGTTGTCGGAGTTTCCATAATTCATGCCAACCCCAACTTCGAAACAACGAGTTTCGCTTCAGTTCCAACTTCGGCTTTAAAAAACAATTTCTTTTAGTGACTTCTATGCAGAGATCTAATGTTGTTCTATTTACTACAAATTAGAATCACTGGATAGCCAATATTTTCCTAAGAACTCTTCATTTTATCATTTAGTAAAATAAATAACTGTTATTTAATATAATATTATTGATGGACATTTATACACAAAAGAATCAAGATATTTATTAGGATATCATTATAAAAAAATGTCTTCTTGCCATGCAATTGAAATCAATTGAATAAAAATAGATTTTATTGAAAAAGATCGGGACTAAACTAGCAACTAATTTCAACATTCAAAAAAGTCTTATGCGAATATAAATGTCTTTTGCGTTTTATTTCAGTCTTCGTCATCTTCAGTTGGTTGTGGTACAAGTTCAAGTGGATGTTCATGCCCTTTCTTTTCACACGCCGAACATAGATCATAATTACCACATGTTGAACAACGATATCTTTGACCAATAAGAGGAGCCATGCTACATCCATCACATGTGACACATGACCATTCAAATTCTTCTGGCAAAGGAGGAGGTAGTTTTTCTCCTCGTGCCCATGTTTTCAATGCTTCGATTTCTTTACGTGAAACGTCATCACGACCACGACGTGATAAAATTGTTCCATCGGATGAAAGAATGAACAATGATGGAATACCTTTATAGAAAAGAATAATAATCATTGTGAAAATCAGTAAATTAAAGAAACACTCACCAGAATATCAAAAATATCCCTTGAGAACGGTATCTGCGTTAAATGGAACAGCAGACCAAGGCATTTCTGCACGATAGGCATTGAATGACTCTTCATCTCGATCACATGAAACAAAAACTACACGAAAACTAGAAGAGGTTGTTTGTGCTTCTTTATAAAGTTCTGCCAATTTTGGTGTAAAAGCACGACATGGTGGACACCAATGAGCAGAGAACTAAAATCCAACACTTTTCACGTCATTTTTCCACATTGTTTTTGTTTCAAGTTTTTCTTCATTATTAGGATTAAGTAAATAAGGCACTGATTTAAAGAATGTTTCTAATGAATAATTTTTTTTAGGTATGAGCCAGTTCACGTAAGCCACGACCAACCGCGCTCAATCGATATCCTCCGATTTACCTCATTTTAGCATATGTGATAGAGGCAAGAGTTTTATGATTTTTCGCGAAAACCGATTCAAAAAATATTGAACTTTCGATTTTTTATCGAATTTTTTCGAAAAGCACTGTAAAACCCCATTATCATCGGGAAGGAATTTTGAGCGCACTATATCTCAAGAATGAATAAACCGATTGAACTGAAATTTTTTGTAGTTGTATACACCAACAAGTTCTACACATAAAAAAAATTTCAGCTCAAATAATTGAGTCGTTGGTTTTTTATGGATTTCACTACTGGAGAAAAAAATCACTATTTTGGCCTACTTTGCCTGCTCATATCTTCGCACTGGAAAATGATACAGGTCTGAATTTGTTTTTCCAAAGATATCACAATAGGATCTCGTTGCAGTAAAATTTTCAGCTCCGTTGAGAGAATTGTTCGTCCGGGGTACTTTGAACAAATTTGAGTTTTTTGCAAAAATCCGGATTTTGGGCCTCAGTTTTCAAGAGTCGTGACACCTGAAATTTTGTCCGAGTTATCTAATCTGAAAGACTTAAGTGAGATCTACAACTTGATGCAAAAACTAACTTGGGACAGATAGAAACGGCTTTGAAATTGATTCATCTTTTTGGCAAAAAATGCAATTAATAACTTTTTTTCTGAGTACCCCAGTCTTTTCCAGATTTCTGAAGAACGGCTCATTAGAAAATAGTGAAACTTTCAAAACAGATAGATCTCCGACAGTAGAGTAAAAGTTGCGCTAGATTCAACTCTGCACAATGTTTCATTCTGTGAGATAATCGGATCCTAATGGGTAAAAATGACCCAAATTTTTCTACTTCTTATTTTTCGGGATGCTAAGTTCGATCGAGCGACTTTTTTTTACAGATACCAGACGCTGTTTGGTACTTTTGGCTGCGAGTACCATGGGAGTTCCTCCCGCTTACATGATAATATTATAGTTTCCAATATAAAAAACAAAAGATGTATCCTTTAGCAGTATTAGAGCCTATGCCCATGATGATATATTAAGGAACTCAAAGTTCGTGTTTTCGCAATTCAGATTGTACTCTCATTACGATTCACAATGATTCTTGTCGACATGCAGCTTGATTAATATGCTCTAGTTTTCAAACACTCTCCAACTTTAAAATCATAAAAATTGATTCAAAATGACCAGAAGCAAATCGTACGAATAGAAGGAAAAATCTGATCCTACTCCATGTTAGACTCCATCAGTTCGGCGATTAGTTCCTGCTGCGCGATGATATCATGTTTTTGGCCAATTTTTCGGAAGCGATACTTAATTTGGCTCAGTGTTGGATACTCGTGGGTTTGAAAGAGTTTGTCTCCATTGATACCTCGTGTCGTACGTATTTGCTGATGAATTTGCTGAGCGGTAAGCTTCAAGCGAGCCTCTTGAGAATAGAACCGGAGCTTTTCGATGAAGTTTTTGACTTTGTCACTCATTGGATTGGTGTGCTTACGTGTCCGCAGAGCCCATCCGGCTGACGAAAACCTGTCATAACAAGCATATTTTGTGAAATCAATACATGAGACATTTTGACTTTGTAAAATTCTTTTTGTTTGCTCTTGGGCGTCTATGCCTGTTGTTCGGATGACCTCCGTGAGATGCAGTCGAGCAATATCGTTTGTCGTTCGTCGCGTATTTTATTGTACGTCATGCAGGTTGGTTGCGATGTGCGATTCGAGCTCTGTACTCGACTCGAAGGTGGCTATGCAGCCGCTTACAGGACATAATGTTAAATAATGGTAAATACGATCGTTTCTCCTATTTCAAGCTTAAATAAGGAATAGAGCAAAAGATGAAGATCTTTTACTGGCTTGGTATTGTACTTGACTTTTGGTCATTTATTGGATTTCCAAAAGGACTAACAACTCGCATGTTTGATTCGAAGTTGAGCTGTTTTGTAGGGAATCGAAAGACTATCACCGAGGCCTGATACCTTGAACAGGGTGTGGGTGTGGGGGGGGGTGGGGGTGTGGGCGTGGGGGCGAGTGTGGGTGTGGGCGTGGGTGTGGGTGTGGGGGTGGGTGTGGATGTATGTGGCGGTGGGGNTTTGTTGATTTCTAGTACGCTATAGAGTACTTCTATTAATTTCCCAATACCATCACTAAATACAGTTATAATATTTCGTCTTTACACATGCTTCGAACAATCAATCAATTATCTCAAATAAGTACTAAACAGTTTGTACTGAACACGTTATATTATTGATATTGTATATGACTTATGACTTGCTTTTAATGCAATACATTCTTATTACTAATGAATGCAAAAATTACTAACAAGTAAAAAAGAAATAAGAACAAACATGAAGCATAATAATTATTAATTGTTTCCCATATGTTCGACTGCGATCAATCTGCGACGCAGTTACGCGTAACTGCGATCGCACTGTGACCCGTAATTGCGGAAAATTGCGACGCAGCTACGCGTAACCGCGACGCAGCTGTTAAAAAAGTGGCGACATGGGTTAGTTCTATACAAACGAGCGAAAATATAATACAAACTTTTAAAAAAATCAGTGACTTTGCTTGAATAGAATAATACTATTGAAAAACAATGTATCGATATCACAAAAAAACAACAAAAATGTGCAGCTAGATTATATAGTTCCAAGAAAACAAACAAATGAATCTGATGAATTATCTATTTAAAATTCAGTCGGTTTTCTTTTAGCTTTTTGTATTGCTTCACTCTTTTCTTCAGCAGCTTCTGTAGCTTTTTTCTTTGCTTGCTTTTGCGATTCTTGAGCATATTCTTTAGTTGATTCAAATGCATCTTGACCTAAAAAGTCAAACAAACAACTAAAATTAAGTAATACTCAATATCCAATGATGATATTTACTAGCATGTCGACCGGCTTTCAATGCTTCATTAGCTGGAAATATATATAAATAAATAGAATATACTCAAAAAGATGCACAAACCTTTATCTCTGCCTAATTCGACTGTTTGTTCAGCTAAAATAACGAAAACAAAAACGATCAATATCAATTCCATATAAAAAATAGATTCATATACCCAATTTTCGACCTTTTTTAATACCATCAGCACCATACTCAAGTGAAGCTTCATATGCATCTGCACCTACAATAGTTAAACAACAATTATGTAAAAAAATCAAGACAAATTCATATTACCTGACTTTTTTGCAGCTTTGAGTGCTTCATTAGCTGCAAACAGAAAAACACAAAAAGAAAATCATTAGGTTCGAGAGTTATAGAAAATGATAAATATCACCTTTATCTTTTCCAACTTCAAAAGCTTGTTCACCCAATTTTCGACCTTGTTCCAAACCTTCTTGAGCATATTCTTGACTTAATTTAGCTGAATCAGCAGCAAAGTTTTGAGCTAAATAAAATTAAAATAAATTTCACATTAAGATTAAATGAAATGTTTTGTTTTCATTGTACCTGAAACTTTAACATCATCAGCAACTTTAGCTAATTTTTCTTTTGCTAAAATATCAAATAAGAACTTATTTATCAACATACCAAGATACTTACCAACATCAGCATATTCACTAGCATGTTTACCTAAAGTATGAAAATTTAATCCCATAAAAATCAAAACTAATATATAAATTCGTACTTCCAGCGTCATAGGCTTCTTGTGCTTTATCTTTCAAATATTCAACACCATCAGCAGATTTGTCTTTGATATATTCAGTACCTTCAGCAACTTTAGGTGAAACGGTATCATATGCTGTGTTAGCTGCATCTTTTACCTTAAAATTGTGGCATATGTTGAGTAGAATGTTAAGAAAAAGAAATAAATACAACATACTGTTTCAACAATTTTATCTTTAATTTGCGCAGCAGTTTCAGCAGCTTGTTCAGTTTTTGATTTCTCAGCTACTGTAGCCGAGAGAAAAAGAGCAACACAAATAATTGATAAAAATTTGTACATCGGTATGTTTTTTTCTGATCAATAGATTGATTTTTGGGTAATAAATCTAGATAAAAACAACATATTTGGTGAGAAGAAGAAAAATATTTATCAAAATGTCCAAGCAATACACAATGAAAGAGAAGTAAAAACAGAACAGGCAAAGAGAACTATTTGTTTTGGTCACGTGTTTAAATCAAGACAGTGACACGTGACTATTCATACACACTTGTCGTACAGATTCTGAAGTAAGAGATATACTGCGCCAATGCATATGATTTTTGTTTATAGATAGTGCACTTACTAATTATATAATTCATTTCATAGATGTTCTTTTACATTAACCAATTATGATTATTTTCTATATAAATGATTTGTCTAATCCGCTTCCTTAACGACATCTATCGTATAGACTTTCAATCAAACTTTGACAAGCTAATTACGTTGGTTGTCTTAGCAAACGAAACAAGATGTTTTATCTTGATACTTCTTTTTTCCATATTATTTTCTTTAATTGCATTATCATTTGTTATAATTCAACATGCCAAATTAAAAGCAATAGATCTCATCAGTCATGGTCTTATAGATATATTCTATTCTACTTGAGGACATTACTGAGAATACGAAACAACTTAATAAGTTGAACTAAAAATGTTAGTCTAAAAGCGCAGAATGTAAGTCGAATTGCATTGAAAGGCAAGATACTTTTAACATTTAAGTTACATTTGTCAATATTTGAGCTCATATATCGGAAAAAAAATATTCGTCTTGATGTCAAGTTTGCATTGTACTAAAATTCGATATTAGCCTAGTGAAAATTAATGTCACACTCATTGCAGTGTAGGCTTGTTCTCATTTATACGGATCACTAGTTAATAAAACATATGCTTCTGGTTGTATTCAGGATTAGGACGTTCAGAAGTAAATTGAATGGAAGAGTAAATGAAACAAATCGTGTTGAGTTGTTCGACAGGAGCATGATTATTCAACGATAAGAATGACTAACGTCTAAAACAAATATCTTGTAATGGAAAAATGTGAAAAAGAAAAGACCAGAAGTAAGTCTATACAAGAATGTGTAACGTACATTTTTCTGGCAGAAGATATAGTGATCTGATCATGATTAATGAATGACGTTGTTTTAGTGTTGATAAAGATGTAGACTTAAGTGAACATCCTTATACTTTTATCTATATTTGACATTAAAACATTGTGATTTTAATTGTATTGTTAGGAAATAGAGAAAAGAAGCATTTACGAAACAGAATTTTCATGATAAACAAAAAAGAAGCAAGTAGATGAATTGTGAAAGGCTACACTTTTCTTTATCATTCGTTATTCGATATATTTTTACTAATTTTCTTTTCTTCAAATTATTTTTTCTAAATTTTTTTCATGTTCTGACTTTTTGTCTTTCCCATTTTGAGAAATTCAAAGAATAAGATGTTAACTTGTTAAAACTACAATATTATAATCTATTTTTATATTAGTTTTGTTAAGATTCTAAGAGCAAATATGGCAGCATAATTTGCACTAGATATTAATTGCTTTTAATAGGCATGTAGCAATTAATGAGATTATTTTTTTTTTCGTATCTTATTATCATGACAAATAATTGATGATTTGCACTGACGAGTTCACTAACCACAATGTGTAGATTACCACTTATATCCACAATGATTCATTGAGGATTATTGAGTTTGTTTAGCAGTGGTTTGTACTTTTCTCAGGTCTCGCATCAAGACTACGCTCATGCTTTTTCCTGAGTTTTTAGAATTGTTCTCGTTTTATTTATTTATACTGAAAATTCTGATTTTGCCTTCATATTTCATAATCCGTTGACCAAGGATAAGGTCGACAGGATTATGAATAATGTAGAATTTTTTCCATGATGAAAGAAACATATCATGTTTATGTAATATTTGTTTCAACTATTTATTTTTGTTTTTATTGTTTCGTAACCAGTTTTAAGTAGTTTTTATCATTTTCAGCTTATCGTGGTTTCAAAGCAGCTAATTTTAGATAAGTCATTTTTCACTGCTCTCAGGTAGATCATCAAGAAGGACACTTCACACATCTCGTTGATATCTAATCTTTTCATCCTTTTGAATCAATTTTGCCTCTAATAGTCGTGAAACTCTCTATAAATTTATCGGCATTATTCAACGAACGTTGCCTCTTTGATTTTTAAAACTAACTATAACTTTAGCAAATTATTAAGTACCGCTTTCAAAATTAGTCTATTTTTCAATTTTATTTTTATATACATCGTTAAGTTTCAAGCTCTCGCTCGATGCAATTTTTATTTCAGGATTCCAAGGACGTTGTCATTAATAAAATCAATTTTAACGAACTCAGTTGTAATCACAAACAACTTCTTGAAAAGATTTATGCATATGTGATATTCGAAGAAGTACATGCAAGAGAAAGAAAGCGTGACTTCAGTGCTCCAAAATAAAAGTGAAGTACAGTGAAGCGTCAGTGAAGTATAGCATTTCATCCTACTTCAATTGTCATATTTTTGTACTTTGGATTACTTAAGTCTCATTTCTTCCCCTCTCTCTTAAGTATATGATAATTTTGAAAGTTCCATTCAATAGTTTAGTACAACTATCTTTAAGCTTTAGAAATAAAAGAGACACTATTTACTGAAACAAAATAGATCGACTTCAACAGAATTTCATGGCAACTTTATAAAACTTTATTCGAAACAATGCAAACACTGGAAGATGATAATCGACGAAAAGTAAAAAGGTGTCATTGATATTTACACTTAAGGTTAAATGGAATATATTTTATTTTGTTGTTAATGAATTTCTAAGAACTGATACCGAGGAATAAAGGTGGCTTAAATAACTATTAGAAGAGCAATTGTCATGCATGTATCACTACTCTATCCGCTTATATTCAGAGTTTGCCTTGTACAGAAAGAATAAAATAAGTTTTACAATATATTGATTTTCTCTACCATATTGTCCTGTTTGTTTTCTTGGTTTCAAGAAATTGACTGCTGCAACGCCGGTATCCAGTAACATCGGTGACCACTGTTTCTATTGACACAAACAGTGTAATTTTCAGAACACCTTTAGTGGGTATGCATGAGAGTATTAATCCTTGCGTTAACCCTCACCCACTGACACCTACATCTTCGTCTCCCAACTTTAGTTGATGGACGAGAGATCCTAACTGGACGTGATGACAAAAACAATAGCGAATATGTTTTACTATGGAGAGTTTTATATGCTTTAGTTAATTTTGGATTCACTTTTCAAGTTTTTGAAACTGTCACTTCAGTCTTTGCTTTTTAGTTTTAAGAGCAACATAATATAATACAGAAGAAAAAAAACTTTAAACTTAAAATCTTAGTTCTCTTTATAAGAAATTATGAACGCTGAATGAGCAAATAAGTGTCGCACCATTGATAAGTACTGGATGGCCGTAATCTCCTAACGCTTGCCCTAGTAATAGAGTCAGATTGAAACTGCTGTTGTAACCACCCGATAACATCAAATTCAGGCTCCGTTTCCCTTGATGTATTCCATTCAACACCTTTAATTCGAATATTTAATACCTGAAGATTCTTCATATTAGTAACAAGATCTAGTAAACATCTTAGATTGTCCACTTTAATAGCAAGCACCTTATACTTAGTACCAAGTGTCAAACGGCTTAATCGAATGCATTGCTCATTGTTGTAGTGCGTATGATCAGTTATGCAACTGAGAATCAGTTCAGGTATGAATGCACATTTTATTCCTAACAACACATCTTCTTCCAACGTTGACGACCATTCGTTTACCTCAATTGATGACAGACGTAGAGTTCGACTCAGCAAGAGTTTCATTTGATGCAAACTATTGTACCCATCTTTCACTGATACACTCAAAGAAATTAATTGAACAAGTGTTGGAACCACAGTGCAAAAAAAATCGTTAACGGGAAACTTTATGATAAGATGTTGAATATTGAAAAATTGAATATGAGATGGAGACAGACAGTTGCTTGGTGTAGAGGTATAGTTGAGTGTACGCACAGAATGATACGACGACAGACGATAATTAAAAGAACATGTTGACTTTGAGTAGGTGGGATAATCAAAAACAAAATTGCTAAATGTGTATGGTATAGAATACAGATAATAATATTTTCTCAATGGACTCCAATCACATTGAACAAACCATTGATGTTCAACAAGCCAAAATTCACTTCCGAACGAGTCCAGCAGTGAATCGGCATTTTTTTCTTGATCACGGCAACCTGTCTGAATTTGAATTTCTGTTTTCCAATGAAAGTATTTGAGCTTAGGCAAATACTTAACAATGATTTTTTCCCATATTTTTCCATCTATAAAAATAGTTCCTGCATCTAATGATAAATCTTGTAAATTCGGCGTCATTCTCAAAAGATTTACTACATCGCTGACATTCGAATAGGTAAATGATACTTTCAGCTTGCTTATTGAGCTTCCATAAAAAGTTTGATCAGCCGGTGAAATTGAACCAACAGAATTTGCGGAAAAGTATTGAAGATGTGGCGCAGATTGGAGCAGAGAAACTACTTTAGTAAAAGGACTGAACTTTTGAAAACAAGAGAGATGACGGATCGTTGATGAAATCACTGTTGGAACAATAATAGAAACATTTATTTTTTCAAAATAAATATCAAAATCGCAATAAATCAGATTAGATAGTTCCCAAATGCTATTTATAAACAACAGAGCATCATGATTACTATAATGAACGCTACATTGATGAAAAATAAGATGAGTAAGATGCGATAGATGAGGTAAATCCAAAATGATTTTGTTCATTGTCTCCGATGAATGAATGTAAGATAACGAAAGCAATTTCAAATGAGTAAATTGACGCAGAGTAAAACCATGTGTATAAAATCGATCAACTTGGTTAGGTGTATCGAAATCATCCGAAAAATACAGTGACGCTACTCGATCCACCAGTTGTGGTAGAAACTGCAAGCAATAAATGTCAAAATCTTGTTTTGATGTTGAACAAAAATCTACATTGGTGTTTATTTTCAAATGTTGTAGAAGAAGATCGTGAAAACGAATATTGAGGCCACAGAATGCATGAAGTAGACGACCAATAGATAGACGTTCGAATATTTCATGAAATAGCTCGGATGGTAATGATTCGACCGTTCGTTTTTCATTATTCTTTGGCATGATTTACAGTAGTGAAAATGTAATTGAATGACAAGTTTCATGTACGTTGCGCCTTTTTTTATCGAAGATAAACATGATGCAATTTATTTGTTGCCTTTCTTCACATCTCTTTCTTTCACATCTCTCTCTATGTATAGTATTTTTTTCATCGAAAAATTTTCTTTTGGTTTGGTTTCTTCTATTACCTATAGCGAATCTATCAGTGTGAAAATTTCAAAATAAAAATAAATTATTAAATGTTTGTTTTGATATTCTCAACAACTTGTTAGTGAAGCTGACTATCAACCATTCGGAAAAAATTGTTTTACACATTATTAGATAGTCAAGCTTAAATTATGAAGAACAAAAGTAATTCTTCTATTACTAAGGAAGGAGAAAAGACTAAATATAATGATAAGTTTCAAATCCAATTGAAGAATATCGAATGATGTCTGCCTCACTCAAGTCATGACTAGTTTGAGCATCAAACATCATCTTGATCAAATGGAATAGAGACCAGTGGTTATTTTTCGAATTGTCTTCAATTTTTGTTGCTTGTTGTACGCTAAAATGAAAGTTGTTTTTCGAGATAAAGTACACTAGGTTTTTTCGAAACATTTTGTTTTCATGTTGCATAAGCTTCGTGTAACATCACAACAGAACGAGGATTCTTATAATCAAAGCAAACGACGAGCACAATTTTGTCAGAGAGATTTCTGAGAACAAAAAGAATCAATAATGTGCATTGAAAATTCAGAAACATTACGTACGTCACAATATTGCTTACATCGTATCATGTCACTTTCATAGTGTCTTTGGCGCGCTTTGAAGGACAAAATATTCAGGAATGGAAATAACCATACAGAATATAATTGAAATATTGTGGAAGAAATATGAGAATAATTCAAGAAAAACATTATTGGGAAACAATCACATACATTAAGTATTAAAATTTTGAGTAGGAATATAAAACTAAACGCTAACATGTGTTCGAAGAAATATTATATTTTTCATAGGAGAGCCCATATACAGGAAAAATATATTCCCATTATTGTTGAATTACATTCTACTATAAGGCGATCTCAGAAAAGATGGATTCAAAAACTATCTTCTAGTTTATTATTCTTTATTCGATATATTTTTTGTTCAAAATTATTTTTTCAGATTTTTTTCAACTGCTAGTTTTTCTCCTTCCGATTTCGATCTATTCAAAAAACATGTCGTTGCCTTGCTGAAAGTACGATATCACGATCGGTCTTTATACACAAATTATTGAGATCATAAAAGAAAAAATGGCAACATATTTCGAACCAGACATCATTTACTTTCAATGGACATAGGAGAAGTAATGAAAATATTTTTGTATGTTCTTGTTGTGATGACACACAATTGAGGATTTACAGTTTCAAGTTACCGCTATCATCATCGTACAGATTACTATAAGTGTCCACAATGATTCATTGAGGATTGTCTAGTTGCTGAAGTACTGATCATACGTTTGTAATAACATCAGCGACTACTGCTCATGGGTATGGGTCTTGTCTTCGTTCTCACTCGTCCACACCCAAAATATCGAATAACTAAAGTATCATAGAAAATATTCGCAAAGGTGTATGAAACTTTATTCAGGCTAATCGATACGAGTAATCTTTCAAAAATGAATAACTACAGTATTTACAAAAATCTACTCATGAATCAAAATTAATTCCTCGTATTTTTGATGAAATAATTGTTTAACATGGCGGTTTACTCTAAAACGACGATGAAAATCGCCTGGATCTAGTAAGAATAGGTGGGAGACTATCTTTCATATTGGTATTGAATTTGGAAGTAAACTGTCAATATTGCATTGTTGTGACGTCAATAATAGTCGACCAGCATTTAAAATTTACTTTATACAAATTTTGTAAAAATCAATGTAGGTAACGGTTTTGAATTGTCGAGAGTTGAATGTTGCAATATCAAAACATACAGCTTTAATCTTTTGTTTAACTCAATTTGGAATAGCAGATTCATTTTTTGATGATGTATAAAAGTGATTGATACTTGTTTGAGTATCAGAAACCGTTTTCTTTCATATTGACAAGTTTGAATATGCTTGAACAGTGAATCAGTATCGGAAGATGATTTGTAAATAAGTAAATCTTCACATTGATTGCATACAGTAGTCGTCCGTAGATTCAACTTTTATGGATCCGCATCAGATCTGACTGAATGTAGTTGAACTCAGACTTAAAAATCTTATTCGTTTATTTATGTCAGTTTTGTGTTGTCTTCGAATATATTTATTTGATAAAAACTGAAATTTTTATAAAGATACGGAAAATACACCAAAATAGTGTTCAGAAGATCTTATTACTTCTCAAACGATATTAGAATTGATTATTTTTGAAAAACATAATCAGTAAATTCTTAAAAACTTCTATATACAATTGAATCAACATAGTACTATGCAATGATAAGATGTCAGCTAATATAGCTTTTCCTCTATTAAGAACATATGATAACATTGTAGTACTCTTTTATAAAATTTCTCAGAAATATTAACCACTAACACATGACTTTAAATTGATGGTTCTGATCATCATCTTTGTTTCATATTGATATAGATGTTCTCAAACAAATATAGAAAATAAAACAATTTTAACTGCTGTATTTTTATGATAGGATGTATTGGAATGAAAATCATTTTCTATGTTCATCCCAGAATATGTCTACTAGTATAATGGCAAAAGAATCAACGTTTCACTCATTACTGTTGCATCAAATATTATCGGTTAACATTTTTAAAAATTTTTGGTAAAACAATAACAACAACAACATTATTGTGATTTTTAATATCATTTAAGGCAATATTCTGTAGACTTATATAATATGTCTATAAAATGATCTAGCTCGGCTTCAACAGATTAGTTCGTATTGCATAGAAGAACACAATAATTTATATAATCATTTCAGAACTTGTTTTAGAACCGTTGTGGTTTATACAGATGACATGAATCGATAGCTTTATGACATATTGATTTTTACACCAGCTGTAAATAAATAAATAGAACGCAGTAAATTGTGTTAGGAAAAATAAATCCGACAAAAAAACTGGCACTTTTCATGATTCCACTTNACTAATTCAAGCATTAATTTTATTGATGATTGTGTATTATGTATTAAGATTTGTCGATCAGTTAATTCAGATTGAATATGTTCGGATTTTTGTAAAAATTCATTTATTTTTGGATTAACTCTTGTTCGAGAACGACAAAGTGATGCTAAACATTGAGATATAAGTCCAGATAATTGTTCATCTATTTGACGAGATTCAGAAAATAATGTTCGTAAGATTTGTGTCTAAAAAAACAATAGTCAACAAATTAATGTTTGTGAATTTAAAACAAAATGCAGAAAAAAAAAAGAATCGTACGCCATTAGTTTGAAAATTTGTTACTTGAGTAACTGCTGTTTCAAGTCGATCTTTAAGTTTTGAAAATTCTTTTTCAATTTGTTGTCGTTCAATTTGGATATTTTCTAATTTTTGAATGCGTTTTGTTAATGATTGTTCTTCTTGTTCAAGTCGTTCTTCACGTTGTTTTAAATATTCAGTTTCTTCAAGAAATGCAGAAGCTAATTTTAATTGCATTTGAGAAAGTATAGTTTGTAAACTTGAATATGTTGTTCTAAATGAATCTTGAGTTTTAATTGATGATTGATAAGCTATATCATTTTCAAGACGAAATTGTTCGTCTAATAAACCAGATTTTTCTGAACTATGAATATCTATTAAAGGAGTCAAATTAAGAGCATAGATATTATTAGTATTTGATTCGGAGGAATACATCGGTGGAGGTCGGTTTCGTGGTGTAGACATTATTGGTTTATTAATATCGATTAATTGTGATAAGGGACAACTTCGTTTGATATCCATTATTTAAAGTTTAGTGAACAGAAGAAAGAATAAATGATTACTTCGTTGTGTGATATGATTTAATCGAGATTCGAGAGAATAAAAAAAAAACAAAAAAGAAAAGAGGAAGATGAATCATTCATTTAGTACAAGAACAAACACAACTTATAGTATTATATTTTATTAGAAATGATTTTAAAGTTTTATAAGAATAGTGAATCGACATTTTATACATTCAATTTCTCTTGATTGGTAGAATATTTCAAAATACAAATTATCTCGAGAATTATATCAAACATATGCATTGTATTTTACGTGTATTTAAACATTGATCTTTTTTTTCTTGATGAAAATTAAAAGTAATGAATTGTTAGGTTACTTAATAGAAAATTAAGATTAATCAGTGATGTTTTGAAATGTTTTATGTCTTGAACACAGAGTACAAATGTGTCAATTCTTAGAATATAATGTCAAATATGATACTTTTTTTTTTCTTATTAAGAATGCAGTTCCTATGGATTGTTTATATCAATCATGATTAGTTTTCTTGTGTTTTATCCGAAATTGAAGTCGAAATCTATGAAATACAAAATAAAGGTCTCAAGATTGGTCGAAAATTTGCATTGTTTATTTTTTTTTTGACCGATTCCAGGTAATTTTGAGAACTAAGTTTTGAATTAAATAAAGTCTAAGAATAGTTTTGAAAAGAATATTAAAAACTAATTACAACTAGCGTGAAGAATCGCTAACAATACAGCAACTGTCAATACTGAACATGCATTTTTGTATGAAAGGATAAATCAACACCTTGCATTTCTAATCGAAGTTTAGAATATTTCCAGTATTGAGAATTATTATATTTCTAGCAAGTAACAGTTTTGAATGCTCTTTCCAAAGCTAATCTTAGATTTTATTTAATACAAAACACAGGTCTCAAAATCAATTGGAATTTATCGAAAAAACTAAAGAAAAATGTAAATTTTCAATCAATTCTGTAACCTTTATGTTGTATTTCATGAATTTCGATTACAGCTTGAGATAGAACAAAACTGACCATAAATTGACATAAACAACCCACAGAAAGTACATTCTTAATAAGGAATAGTACATTTTTTAAAACTCTTAATAAAGAGAAGCGGTACAAGAGATTTGAGTTAGAACTGGACAACTCTAGTCAAGTCAAATTAAGTCACATTTGATTTGTGACTGAAAATAAACCTGACTTGCCTAATTCTATAGTAGACTTTGAAGAATTACCTGCAGATCCATAGACTAAGAAGCTTTACTTGAAAGACAAGAAGAATTTTCTTTCAGATATTAATATTCATTGTTTGCTTGCATCTGTCAATCATTTTTCCACCAAGTAGCATACGTTTAAAGATCTTTCTAGGTCTTCGTTTTGTCTTCCTTCGATTCCAAACATGTTAATTTATTGTTCTTCAATCGTTGACAAACGTTTTGACTGCCATTACAAATTTGTTTCATTCTGATAATAAATTTGATCAACACATTTTTTTTTTTCATCATTTACCATTGTTGACAGAAAAAAAAGCGAAGAAAAGAAAATGATGAAAATCATTTTCTTTTTTCTTCTATACGGCATCATTGAGTCAAGTTTGATTTTTTTATAAACGTTTACACTTCTATACAGACATTTTCATCAACAACAATAGTAACGTCATTCATTTATATCAGGATATGTGAGTATATAGTTAAATTTTTATTAATTTATCGTTTTAAATAAATAAGGAAATATAGATTATGGCTTAATGTTCAAATATATAAATTAAAATGATAAATAAATGGTGATTGGAAAAACAGAAAAGGAAATAAAATTGTTTTTTAAACTCAATCAAGAATTTTGTTTGATACAAACAAAATAAAGTTTGTTGATTTTTTTCATCTATCATTATAATTGTTTCTAAAAACATGGATCGTTTTATTAATGTTTTTAGTTGCTGTGACATCGATTATTTTCTTTATGCACATCTTTTTTTTCATTCATGGGCTGTAAACAAACGACAACAAAATCTCCGCCTGTTGTTATCGCAACTTCGCCAACTACATCAACTTATGTAAAAAGTGCATTAAAAAAATCTAATGTTAAAGGAGGAGAAAAGACTGAAAAGCTTTCATTTTTAAAACAAAAAGTATCAACATTAAATAAATCAGTTAATTTTAATGAAAAAGTTCAAGTTAAATTACGTACTCCAACTCCAAGAGAAAAACGATATGAAAAAACATTATCAGCAAAAATAGTAAAAAGACAAATACATAATGATACTACAGATGATGATGATGATGATGATGATGAAGTTACATCGATTTCATCACAAGAAGATAATATTATTAATGAACAAAATAAAAAATCAAAATCACTTTCTTCTCAATCCTTACAACGAAGTCAATCAAATGCTTTTTGGCAAAAAAACAATTCTATAGGAGTCATATCTAGAACGAATAATATCAAAGAAAAAACTCAACCTCCACCAACTGCAATACAACAACCACCTGTTACCATGATAACAGATTCGACAGAAAATTCGAATATACCCATAGGAAATCGTTTTAGAGTACGTCGTAAAGTTCAATATCCTGTTCTACCGCAAGCCTCAAGTCCAGTTGTTTCTACTCAATCGCCCACTGCTTCTTCTTCGTCACCAATTGTACGAACATCATCTCCTCTAATACAACGACCATTACCAAGTACCAACGCTATACTTATTGAACATCATACATCATTTTCTAATGGGGGATCTGCACCAAAAGCTGCTAATTATGCAATCAATCGACATCCGATTGATAAACCAAATTCAACATAAAGATAATTTTCATGTTAATACATATCAATATCAAAAATAAAATAAAATGAACGCAAGATAAAAGAAATATTTATTAATGTGAAAAACAAAGGAAAAGTTCATTAGTATTTAATCACTCTCAAAGCATAAAATGATAATAGTAATCGAATAAATCAAAATTTAAGGATAGATTAATTTACTCCTTATGAGTAAAACCTTTTAAAATAGCTGAATAAACATTAAAATCTATCGTAAATTCATTTTTGATCATAAAGATCTGCATAAGATTATTTTCAAAAAGAAAATAAAAACTTTGTTTATTAGAATATTTATTGAAGAAAGTATTGAAAAAACAAAACAAAAGAATTATGCATCAAGACAACAATACTTGCTACAACTAATCTTAGAAAAAAAATGATTGAATATATTATTATCATTTGTTTATAAACAAATCCTGAGAATCAGAGTAAACCAAAAACAAAAATACTAATAATTCGTTGACGTCATTGTACCAGGTTGTACTCTTGGATAAAGCTAGAAAATAATATAAAAAAATATTCAATCAATCAGGAAATACATTATACAAAGAAAAAGAATTCCAACATAGGTAATCACGTTTGACAAAAACAGTTAAAATGACTTTAAAACATTTTAAAAAAAGCTTATTAGCACAGCTCTTTTGACATTGAATTGTGAAGCCTACATGTGTTCTTTGACTTTATTATACTAATACAAAATACATAATGTGAAAAATCTCTCACAGACTATAATCTTTTTATTTATTTTTGCATTTCGAACAAAATTTTTTGTTTGTCTTGTTACTATTCTCTCATAATTTTTCTTTTTTGTATTTCATTTTTTTAAATTTAACATGATTTTAAATTCTCTAGAACAGTCTAAGCCATGTCGTAAATTGCCATTTAGCATATTTTTCTGTCACTAAGGAATTCTGACAAAAGACTCTGATGCCTGTTGTTCTCAATCACTAAAGTCTGTAATAGAGAGGAAGGGGGAGCAGCCGCTAGGAAGTAAGTTCCATAATATTATATACTACCAGTATAGCATAAAAATTTAGAAAGAAACCACATGATAGGTGTCTTAATTGTTAATTTTACAGGATTGACTATCAAAGATATGTTAAGGGCATCCGAATGAATTAAAGAACAAATAACTTTCTTGATTTAGAATTCAAGATCATGTTCCACAATATCGGTCTATTTCAACGAAAAAATATATTAGCTTTGTGTTGATAAAGTTCATTGAACTCTATAGACAAAGATAGTCGAATAATTAAATTTCGAAATCTTCTCTCATAATAACTTACTCCGAGATAATTGCGTGGAATATATCCTTCTTTTTTAGTATTTTCATGTCTTGCCCACCACCATTCTTTTTCATTTTCATCTCCACGTCTTAATATCGTCAATAAATCACCATCTCTAAATTCAAGTTCATTATCCATTGAAGAATTTGGTTCATAATCATATAAAGCATAAACTAATCCATTATTAATCACACCCAAATCATTTTGTACATCTAAAATAAAATAATCTTATTTTCTTCAATTATAAAATATTTCTAATTTACTTAAAAGATATTGTGCACAGTTAATATAATTTTCTTCTTCTTCTTCACATTTTTCTGCAGCTGTTTCATTATCACGTATAGTTGTTGCATAAATACAAGCACCATGTTCAATTAAAAATACAACCATTGATGTATTATTACATGATGCTGCACAATGTAATGGTGTCCATCCATCATTATCGGCATAATTAATATCACAACCAAATTTAACTAAAAATTTTACACATTCAAAATTTGATGCACATACTGCATTATGTAATGCAGTTAAACCTTCATCATTTGGTTGACTTGGATTTTTTACCTGAATATTGAAACAAATAATGATTTAAAAAAATTATAAAATAAAGAAAAATTCAAACTTCTTTTGCAGATTTTATAAGAAGTTCAAGTTCTCCAATAACAGCAGCATCAAGAAGAAGTGCTAATGGATCAAATACAACTCGTCGTGTAGTATTTTTAGGTGTTGTTGAAGTTTTTAATAATGATTTAAGATTAATAATAGATGTTGTTATGCTTATTGGAAATGACATTGTTGATTCAATATCTTCAGAAAGTGAACCTTCAGATTCTGTATCAGAAACAATTGATTCAATTATTGTTTGTTGTTGTTCTCCATCAGAATTATCATTATTGATATTAATCTGTACATCAAATAAATTTTCATATGTCGTAACAGTAGATTTTGTATCTGATAAAGATGAATTTGTTAATGCATCATCATGAACATAAATTGGTTGTTGTTGTTGTTGTTGTTGTTGTTGTTCAAGATTTGATGATAAATATTTTATGAATGAATCACTTGCATCAGATAATGAATGACGTTTTTTTATATTTGATGTTATATTATTAAAATGAATTGAAAGTATATCATCATTTAAACGAAGATTAGGTGGTAATAATTGTTCTTCAGTTTTTGATGATAAAGAATTAATCATATCTGTTGTTGATTTATTTAGAAGAACAGGTAAATTTGTAGTATGTGATGAAGGAGATGTTGGTATTGTTAATGGACTAGCCATGTATGTTGCAGCTATTTCACTTTTAGATGCAAATGCTATTTTAGCTGAAGAGATCGATAATGAACCATCGTTTGTCTGTATATAAAAGAAAAAAGATAATAAGTCTCATGTGAAAAAATTATTCAAGTGAGAAATTGTTATTGAAGAAACAACATATGTTTATCAAATCATGTGATGAAAACTATAATTAAACTTCTGCCTAGGTCAACTCGATTAAAGACAGTCCCATTGAGAGTAAATGTCAGATCTCGAAATCGCGCCACTTTTTGATGATCCACTTCGATGGAACTTAGAATGGTACTATTAAATGTATATTTCTTTTAACAAAATGATTTATATACGATCGAACTTCATAACTATTGCAGTCATTTATAAGAACATTCTAAAAAGTTTATTATCATAGTGATCGCGAGCTGAATAAGATCGGATAATTTTAATACTTGAAGAAAACAACTAGAGAGATAATTCGAATTACTTATTGAACCGAAAGAGCAAGATGCGTTCGTGCGTACTCGAACTTTTTGAAGACTATTGTTTATTACCATCAGCCTTTGCGAATAAAATATCTGTTGATCAATTTCAAAGAGTCACATCAGTTATTATTTTTAGTTACACTGTTCCAGTTTAGTTACATCCATGTTACTTAATACAGTTGATAGTGCACTCGGTCTTGTAGATGAGTAAGGAATGTTATCGAGCCAAGTAAATGCTCTGCTTTTATTTATTGGCTAAATAAAACTTTAAACACGTTCGAATAATAAAGATTTCGGACTGTTATTAGTTGTGAGGTGCAAAATCCATGTAAAAGATTTTCATGAAAAATCAGAATAACATCGATTAAGAAATATTGCAATAAAATGAAATGTATCTTTAAAGTTGAAAAATCAGATTTTTTTCTGTTTTCTTAGATGAGAAATCTTTCTGAAAAAAAGACCCGAAATTAAGTTCGAACCAGGTGGCTCGTTCACATTGCGAACTCTAGTAGATATGCTAGATATGATGCAGTGTCTCCTTTCGTATTATGAAAGATTTTTATTTCCTCTTAACAAAAAAACGATTTCTATTGTTCAACTCTGTTAGAAAGAAACTAATTCTGATCCTTTAATGTTAACCACTTCAGATTAATGAGAGCTCCAGCTTAAACTTAACTGAAACAGTTCATGAAGTTTATCCTTTGAGATATTTTTTTTAAAGTCGAACATGCTTTTACTATGGTCCCTCTCTGTGTAAGAATATTCCGAAAAAGTCTTCTTCACTTATGCATTGAATCATATCATTTCAAGAAATTGAAAATCTATGACTGTGTTACTACTATGCCGTTCATATTGAACAAGTATTTCTAATTGATTAGAAAAAAATTCTGTACAATTTAATGAACAGAGAACAATTAAAAATTAACCTTTTTTGGACTATTTGAATTATTAATTTGATCGTATTGGTTTGCACTTGATGATCTACTCGTACTAATTGAATTAAATGAATTCGCTAATTGTACCATACATTTTTCAATTTCAGCTATATTAATATTATTTAATGTATCTTGTACAGTATCTAAAGCAGTCTTAAAACCATTTGATGATGTAACTGATTCAACAGATGTTGATTTTGTTGAATGAGATTTTGTTTTCATTTTCAAACTTTGTTGAAGTTCTTCTATTCGACGATCTAATTGATTTAATTCAGCATGTTTCGATGAAATTATTTCACGTTGATAAGTGATTTTACGATTTTGTTGTTCATTTAATTTATTTCGTATCTATATAAGCGTTTATCTTTTTCATTTACCAAAGTAAAATAAAGATTAGATTAAGAGTGAGGTCACCTTTCAGAAAAAATTGATTTTTAAAGAAAAATTTGATTCCAAGATTTCTACAATATTCTGATAAGCGTTACAATGGAATTTAAGCTGATATAACTTTTTTTGTAAAAAAAAGAAAAGAAGAGTGTGGGTGTTAATAGAATCCTCGTCAACATTCTCACATCTACAACTTTGGCATGAGACGTCCTCCTAAGAACCATATGACATATCCGCAATTGAAGGCGCTTACTAAATCAAAAACATTGTTTTTCGTTTTTCTCAATATCAGTTTTTTCGAATATACAGTTGATTTGGATAAACTTTTCTTAATAACGATCCAATATAATAGTGGTCATTTTTTTTTTATTACGCAGCACACATTAGCAATTGACTGTAATAAAGCTCGATTTTTGAATGTCTCTTTCGCTGAAATAAAAAGAATTTAGATCTTTAATTTAAATTAACGACCGTTGTTTTTGCCATGAATCTGAGAATTTTTGGAATAATTTTCTTTAAAAAACAAACAAAGGAAAATTCAAAAATTGGGCTCTATTACAAAGTAGTCCTAAATGTACTCTACAATTTGAAAATCCATACCAACATGTTAGTTCGTATCTTTGTTTAGAAAATTTTGTCTGCATAAAGGGTAGTTTTGACCAATGAATTGATTAAATAACTTGTGAATATCTTTAGAAATTCGGAAAGATATTTTATCCATAAACTATTCTAGTTAAGATTAATATTCTTTGAAATTTCAGTTGACGTGAGATGAAAAATAAAAAAGTTTATTTTTGGGAAGAGAAGACTTAAAATAATCCTACCATGAGTTCTTGTTTTAATTTATCTAATTCATTTTTATTTTGTGATTGTTCTTTATTTGTTGTTACTTTTAATTGTCTTAATTGATCTAGTTGTTGTGTCAATTCATCAACTTTATTTAATGTTATTGTTAATTCTTGTTCTTTATTTAAAAATATTTGTTTTAATATTTCTAATTCATTTTCTAAATAAAATTTAAAAAAACAAATTTATATAAAGAGAAAATGTTTTATATTTGAACAAACCAATTGTTGAATTTGAATTTTTTTGTTGATTTATTTGATTTTGAAGTGTTTTCAAACGTAAATGTTTAATTTCTTGTTGTTCAATATGTTGTTTTAAACGTTTAAGACGAAAATTTTCTTGTGTTGTTTGTTGTTGTTTAAGATGTTGAAGACGCTGTTCACGTGAAATTAATAATTGTTTATTCTGTTCAATTTGTTCTTGTTGATGAACAACCATTTCTTGTAATTCTGATAATGACGAATTAATTAATTGATTATTTACATTTATCTAAAATAGTAAAGAAAAGAAAAGAAAAGAAAAAATTGTTGAAAATTAAAAAGCAATTAATTCTTGTACTTGATTGATATTTGTTTGGTGTTTATTTGAATTGAGTTGGTGAGATGATTGATGATTATCATTGACCGAAGGTGAACGCATGGTTGTTCGTCGTCGTCGAAGATATTGAGAATGATGATTGTCTAACAATATGATGAGAGAAAGATAAAAAGTCAATGATATGTATAGACAACGATACAAGGGTCAAACTGTTTTTTTTTCTTCGTTCATCTATTTCTAGTAAAAATGCTACTGTTATTTGTCGTGTTCTTATGGTCAGTAACAACGATCAGTGTTGAGAAGAAAATGAGAAAGAACGAAGAAATTCTCTATTTAATACAACAACTGTGGTAACACACTTGAGAGAAGAGAAAAATTAACGCTATTATCAAGAGAGAAAAGAAACAAGAAAGCTTTTTAGTTCTTGATCAAATTACATTCTCTATAAGATGTAATGATATTTATTTCAGAGTCAACGAATTGATAACATACCATATATATGGCGTACAACAATTTTGAATTCTTCAATTGTTCTATTACGAGTTATTACATCAAATAAACAATCATCTAATGGAATTTCTCGTTCTAAACAATTTTATTCTATTAATCATAGATCAAAATTTTCTTACCAAATCCCAAACATGTTTCTATTAATAGAGCAGTATTTGAATCAGACACATGACGTTTTAAAACTTCTTGACATGTTGTATTTTCATTTATACGAATAATCTGACGTGTATATCGATAAGGTTGATTTAAATGTGAATGATAAAGACAAAGTTGGAGCTAAAATTATATTTAAAATAAAAATATAATTAATTTATATTAAAAATAATTACTTGATCATCATTTGACATTGTTCATGTTTATTTTAAGAACGTAAAAAAAAAATTAAATATTAACACAGAAAAAGAAGATGATAGTCTTCATATATTGCCGCGAACTTTATAATAAACTGACAGTAATTAGTTTTGTTCTAATACAATATATTTATGTATGAAGATTTCTTTTTAATAAAACAAAATAGAAGAAAGAAAGATAGCCTAGGAATGCATAATTTCATTAGTGAAATAAGAGAAGGTAAAGAATTTTTCATATAGAAATTTTTAACCATAGATTAGCGACCACTATCATAAACTTCATAGTGTATTAAAATTTTCTTCTGTTAATAATTCATAACTCTGTTTCTACTTCGAAATAAAGTTTTCTGGTCAATCTGGTCTTAATCATATCAAATAAAACTTCTATATGTCTGTGTCAACACTCAAAACTCGAGTTGAAACCTTAAGTAGCACGTCTTGTATGTCACATAAAAAATTCTGAAAAAAGTTAGAAAAGAAAAAACTTCAATTTTCATTTATTTTTATTTGTCTTATTGTATATCAAGTACATGACCTATTCACGTTATGAACAACATATTACATTGACTAGATGTGATTTTTTTTATTTTGAAATGCTCAAGTAAAATTCTTATACATTTAAGTGTTAAAGAACAGATGACTCTGCTTAATATCATTTGTTTGTTCATGAAAATTTATATTTGTTGCTCGAAATGGACATGGTGACGAATCACGTCTTTCATTACTCTGTTCTGTTTCAGTTAATGCTGGTTCTTGACATAATGGATGTCTTTTTGGTTGTGACGAGTTTAGTGTTGGTTGAATTGATATTGATAGAGGAAATGATGGTCCTTCATTGTTACTTGAAAGAAATGGTGGTGGCCATTGTTGAGAAGATTGTGTAAGAGATGAGGAATGATGTGTTGAACTATTTACTATAAATGGAATTTCTGATACACTATTATTCGATGGTCTTGAAAAATAATAAAAAAAGATAAGAATAGGAAATGAATTATTAAATCATACCTTTCTTTATTCACTTGTATTCGTAAATCAGAACCTGAATTTTGGTGTCGTGATTCATTATCAGATCTAAATAAATTTTATTTTGTTTTAAAAAAGAAATAATCCAAATTATATTTCTTTTTTATACAAATACCTAAATGTCCATGGACAACATAATCGAATTCTTTTACATAATGATTTTGGACAACATCGAACAATATGTGGAGATCTGTCTTGTGAAGAACATTTATATCGACATATCATCCATCCTAATGCTAATGCAACAAATATTCCAACAACAGTTGGCCATATTATATCTTTATTATCATCATATGTTGATTGTTGAGAATGTTGAATGATTCTTGTTGTTTCTGTATTATTGAATTTGATCATATTTGTCTTGCATATTAAATTTTAATCTAAAAAATAAAAACTAATTTTGACAAATAATCTTTATAGCTTACTTTATTCATCAGAGAGAATAAGATAGTTGGTTCGTCATTTTTTTTAACAGACCCACAAGCCACCTCATACGTCATTGTAAACAGAGCCGTCGGAAATGTTTTCTCATTTCTAATCATCTCTTATTTTCTTGTCAAGAAAAAAAAGACGAGAAAAACCATATTGATTTTTCTATTTTCATGTCACACATTTTCTCTTGAGCCAAAGAAGAGAAAAAAACTCAATTAAATATACTTCAATAAGTAACAAAATCATTGTATATATTTAAATGGCGTTTAAATAAAACAAAATCCAAAAAAGAAATTCATTGACATGAAATTATTTTTTACCTGTCGACATGCTTTATTTTCAAGACAAAAAAAAGGAAATTAAAAATTTGATGACATAGTAACATCAATATATATATATATATATTTACTCTTACTATTGGCAAAAAAATGTTCTATTACTTTTTTTTGATTATTTATCTTTTCAAATAAAATAATTAATATTTTATATTTCCAACATTGTTTAATTTCTATATTTAATATATGACCATGATCGATTAATATTTCATTAATTATTAAATTTTAATTAGAACTTAGAAGGTAGAGTTCAGCGGGAGCAACTCTATGTGAAGTAGTAGTAGAGACACCGGTAGTTTAGAATGGTCTCAACCTGTCCTGAGAGATTTTCAAAACTATATTAAAGTAATACATTGTGTGAATTAGGATGCGCTCTACTCACCATGATCACATCTTGACCTGAAATATTGACTCTGTCACTAATATGAAGATACAACAATATAACTGAAATCCCTATTAACTGATTCTTTTCATTTATTGAAATAGTAATGATTAAACGAATTTATTTTTTGTTTAGAGCAATTATCAAATTGATTTTTCTATTGATTTTCTACTAACTAATTGAAATATAATAAGATTATTTCGAATTGAATCAATTGAATATTAATTTAAAAACACTTTATCGATGAAAATATCAGACAAATAAAGAAAACTACTGTAGTTAATTAACTTATCGAAATAAGTGTTAAAATTTTAAATATAAAAACAATTTCACAAGTATTTANATATTAGTTCTTACATGAAACGATGCAGAATTAAATGCTTCTTCTGACCAATATAGATTGAGCTTGAAACATTGCCTAAAAGTCGTATATTTTGAGCTAATACCAGACAACTATGAGCCCAATGAAACTTCAATACTTTTTTGCAGGTATTCTCCCTCAAAATAGCTTATAATCCTTACAGTTTGACTTCAATTTATTGCCAAAAGAATCACCACATTTTTTCACATAGGATGGGTAATAAATTGACTGAAAATATTAGATGGGCCAAATCGGCTTCTTATGCGCCCCTGTCCTTTATTACAATGTTGTAGTCAATTTACTAATCCTGAGTGAAAATTTTTACGTTGTATTTTTTGAAAAAACAAAAAAGTAGCTTTAATGTTGGAGTTGTTATTTTCTACATGGTTTTAATAGATATTTTTATATGGTTCGATAGAGTTCGATAAACTACAAGAATATGAATATCATGAAAAATTTGAATTCTGTTTCCAATATAAAGTACGGAAGAACCCACACGGATTAATAAAAATTTCACATATGTTGCATGCGATAGTATGCTTAATTTCCAATAACTTTAATTGATCGGTTGTTAATTGACGTTTCGAGATGCAGGGTCAGATATTGAAGCTGAAAATAACTCTTCCGAGCTACATGAACAGATGAAACAGTCAACGAGTTAAAGCTATTGAAAGCTCCATTTACTCTCTCATATATTTGATACATGAAATTTTTACTAGTATTTCATCCCATTGAGCATAAGAAAACAGAAGATGATCTGATTTGTTCTCCTGAATCTCAACGCTGACCAAAGTGGATTGCATTGACACTCGAATGGAATGCGGAGATAGTATGAATGTTCAACTCTGCATTGAAAGCATTCGTCATGTTTACAAGGTCGAGGTCGAAGTATTCATGGAATAAAAACAAACTGTCTTTTCACCTACGTCTAAAGAAGAAAAGAGAAGCAGCCGATTCTTTTCTTTTCTTTCTTGAAAGATGTGTAGGCCTGATGTTATCTGCTTTCTATTTGAATCAACAAAGATGTGCAAGAGAAACTTGTCTCTTATCTTCATCAAACACTCATCTGTAGTGTGGACTTTTTTGTCGATTTATCTGGTAAGAACTATTAGATTTTATTGTCTGTTAAAGTGTAGCTGAGCGATCCGGTTGTCTCTCGTCAGTAATTCTTCTCGAACAAATCCTATTCATCACACATCGTGTGATTCAAATTTGAAAATTGCAATGTTTCATTTAGATTAAACGGAGTGATCACGAACCATCGAAATAATTTCGATCGATCTGCTACACGAATTGACGTTCTTCGACACAACAGAAATCGCTACGGTTTCAAATCTTTTCATATCTCATCTTGACTTCAACAATGTTTTCAGACACGACACATCGAGTTTTGCCTATAAAAGGGGCGTTTCTCAAGTTGATGCAGCCTGAACATTTGGAGGAGTTCTACGAATTGTTTGAGTTGAATCGAGATTATCTTCGTGAACACATTCCAGGCATTGATTCGATTCAAACTCGAGAAGATCTTCAACAAAGATGGATAACGTCAAAGAGAAATTCGCTGCAATTCGGTCTTTGGCTAGATGAAAAACTGGTCGGTCGATGCCGTTTGACACGAGATGAGAATTCGACGTGTGCCGATATTGGTTACTGGCTCTCCAAATCTCATCAAGGTCATGGATTGATGACTGCAGCAGTGAAAGACTTGCTTCAATTTGCTTTTGAAGTCTGGAATGTACAACGGGTGGAAATTCATTGCGGTGTCAAAAATCTCAAGTCTCGAGCCATTCCAGAAAGACTAGGATTCGTCAATGAAGGGATACCACCGAATGACCCCGCTATTAAACTCAACGGACAGATGGTTTTGTCCGTTGTTTATTCTCGATGCAGTCCAGTTCAACCACCGCCTTTGAAATAGTACTCATTTCTATTTCATTATCCTTCTAGAGAAAAAAACAAACTCGACGTATCGTTTTCTTCCCAAAACGATGTTGATCCTTCTTTCATTCAAGTGAACATGCTGAGCGAATCTATTTTACTCGGAGAATTTCCGGGCAGATCAAACCGAAGATCTAGCCTCTGAGAAGAATTTTGTCATGTGACTTTAGGCCGTTCATATAGTAATGGGAGAAGTCGAATGACTTCGATCGGTCCATGGAAATATTTCAGCGTACTCCAACTTTCTTCTAAAAATTGAGCAATAATCGTCAGACGAGTGAACACTACTTGCTTGCTTGCCTTTTATTACGAATTTTCGTTTGTGTACGTTCTGGGTAACACTGTCTGTACCTCTTTCTGTTCTGATGCATGACCTCTCGCCTTGTTGACTACTGTATGAGTAACAAGTACAATTGGAGAAATCGAGGGTGTGAGTGTCATTATTCAGATCATCTCTATACCTGCATCCACCCGCACCCTAAAGAACTGAATTCTTAAGGAGCTTTTAGTGTCTTTTGAAATGCATTTAGAAGAATATTTTATGTGTTTATTGCGCGAAAAACTGCCTTTTGACTGCCCAGGTCGAGATTTACGGAGTCCACATATGACAACCGTAAACAACCGTTTTTTCTTCTTATGTTCGACGTAGGTGTCTCATAACGTGATTATTAAAATAATATCACAACACATTCTCGAAAAAAAACAGCTTTTACCCATTAAGAACAAATTTTATAAAACAGCTCACCATTATTCGGAACGTGAGCATGAATATACGAATGCTCTTCATTGGAAAATGTAAACATGCGCTCAGATTCACCTTCGACTGATTTGAGAATGTCGCTCGAATGATACAATATTAAACAATAGATAGAATGGATCTGCATAAGTGTTGTCGAAAAACTTTAACCACTTGTTTACAAGTAGAACAGAAAGTAAAGCAATCAAAAAAAAACATTTTCTCCTTCGAAATCGAACTGGCAAATCTACATTGCGATTAACAGCTAATTTACCAGTTTTTGGGTGATCATTAATTCCATGGTGTAGATGTAAAATATTGTTACTTATATATTCTGAATCTTTTATAAAAAAATAACAACCATTACGATAGCCTTCACTCCATAAGTGAAAGTGTATAGAGAGAGAAAAAGAAAAATTTGCTGATGATGAATACACAAGAATCATCGTAAAATAAGCCAAATGCACAAAAAATTGGCAAATACTTCATATTAACAAACAACTTCATATTGATGTTGATTTTTCTTTCTATTATTTTCCGATATACAAAAACATAATAGAACTCATCTTTAAAAGAAATTATCTGTTCTTAATCAATCTTTTTCAGATAAGAAAGCTTTATGAATGTATCCATATCTTACTGAATAAAAACAGGACAAGTTTTTTCAAAAAAAAAATTTTACATCATTTGTTTCGTTCTGCCATAATTATTTGCTTATCGATAGCAGTAACAGTTTAATCCAGGATTCATAATATCACAATTACCGTAGATATAGCCGCAGTTTACACACCACCTATTACATGCTGCTACCCCACTGTAGCAGTCTTTCAATCCAGCAACACAAGATGCTTGTGTATTGACCGATATTGATATTTGTGTTGTATTTGAAAGACATTCTCTTGCTTATATATTTATATATACGTAAATGTTTTGAGATTTTAATTTTCTCCGAAAAACTCTACTCAATAAATTTTTCTGGAAGTGTGCATATTTAGGAAGTAATTCTGATAAGATGCAACATATGAAAATTTCTCTCACACATAACATGTCATATTATTTTCTTTAATTTAAAAAAAATTGAAGTTAGTATGGCATCGCATCTATTGTCATAGAAAAGAATCGAAAGCAAACTCTTTTCATGGAAGCTAGACCCATAATTAAAATTCAACGGATTTGTGTCACAATTTGAACAATAGTTCCACTCATACTCTTTATAGACTAGAACAAAGTTTTAGTAATGTTTTACCTATTTGTAAAAATTCAATCTCTCTATTATTTTCTTTGCAAATATTGTGAACAGAACGAATCAAAGATTCATATACTAATAGATATATCAATTGATATTTCGAAAACAAAATATATTGCATGCGACGAGATCAAGCAATGTATGATATGACTCTTATTGAGCAGTTCCAAACGGCATTTTTTATCTTATGTTCTCTTCTTGCAACATTGACAGATAATTCTCATTAATGCCTATGTTCTCATATCGTATGTAAGAGCCCATTAGCAGCCCTAAACGAGTCGAATACGGCGAAAAACGATATCCGCTACGATCGCCGTTTTACACTTCTTTTCAGTATATCAACATAAATACTCTAAAGCCATCCATAGACACTCACCGACGATTGATGATCGAATAGATATTGTCTATTAAATAAATGAATACTATTTTATTTTAGATTTATTTCAATCGGAATACTTATAATAGTAAGTATTTTATTCTAATTAATATATTTATTTATTTTTTAGATTTAACTCATTGAAATATTGAATAGTGAGTATTTATTATAAAATAACCAATTTACCGTATAAGTACTCAGATTTCGAGAGTACAATGTCTATCTGAAATAATCATTCGTAAGGCATACAGATAAAAATCACTTTCATATTTTTCTTACTGGCCGAACTCATACTTTGATACTTTAAAAAACAAAAATTCTATTGTCTATGATAATCTACCAATGGCAAGTATTTGGAGTGACCTTGTAACATTTCAGAATAAAGATACTTCAATAAAAACATGACGATCTACACAAAAAGTCTATCGTATCATCAGAGACCATCGAAAGAACTGAAAACGAATTTATCTGTATGTATTTTAATACTTGAACAAAATTTAAAAGTTTAAGATAAGATATACATCTTACCCGCAACCATTATAAAGAAAATTTTCGATGATTATATAGAATGAAACGACAGATATTTTTTGGTGTAAGGTTCGAAAATAGTTCTCCAACGTCAAAGCCTTTCGCGATCTTCTTCAAGTAGAACAATAGAAAAAAAAATCATCGCTTTGTATCTCAGAGTAGTCGTAAAAATTTAACAATAAGTTTGAATTAAAATAAATGATACTTGCCTATCTATTGATATGTAATGGTTAATGTTTGAAAGATAGAGATTTCCATCTTGAGAACAATATTCTCTTACCGTTTTATTTCAACATAATCCTGTCTATTACATCTTTCATTTGTTGATTACCTTGACAAAAAAAAATAGTCTGTATAATAAATAGATATATGATAATATTCTTTCATAATAAGCTACAGGACTCAAATCAGATTTAAAATTTTGACAAAAGAAAAACAACTGAAACTAAATAATAATATTTTAGAAATAATTATAAACATTTTAGTCTAATTCAATATTATAAATTAGGATTTAATTTTCATTTAGTAATATGTTCATCTAAGAATAATTACCCAGGATAATTTATCTTAAAATTATGAGTTTATGTGATTCTTTTTATTCGTCAATTCAAATTTCTTCGGATAATATCAAAAAATAATTTATCATATTTCTAATGATTGTTCTTATTAGAAAAATAGAACAAAACAGAAGAGGGAATCAGTAAATTACCATGAGAGAAAGAAGAATCGAAAATTTAAATTTCACTATCTCTTTAATCAATGAAGATGCTTATTTATGAAATTATAATTTATAATTCAGATAACGAAAACCTTCTGAGACGAAATATGTATTATTCAATAGATTCTGTTGAGAACAGGTGAAATCAATCATAATTCCGTCTGTTTGCTACTTTCTTTTTCAAGAATTTTTTCTTAGTCGACATATGATACTTGAAGAAAAACAAAATTCATGTGATAAATTATTTCCCATAAAGACATCTTATTGGTTCTTTCATGTATCAAAAGTTTCTCCTACATAAATATCTTATTGGAATGAATAATTCTCAATCAATGCATATATTTTACCAAAGATTCAGAAATATATGTTTATTTTTTGTAAATATTTTATTTAAGAAAGAAAATGTTCCTCTAAATCAAAACTTTTGGTTTATCATAAAAGCTATTGGGTCTTTTTATGGAAAAAAAAATTTGATTAAAATTTAGATACTAAAGCAAAGCTCAGTACACGATGATAATAAATTATTATTGTCACATAATTAAAGTAAAATAATTATAGAAAAATTTTTATGAATAGTTTGTGTATATTCTATCTTCATTAAAGTGTATATCCACATCTACCCAACTCATGATATAATTTTTTTGAGCTGTATAAATTGAATGAAATCAAAATTCTATTAACTCTAGTGGAAATTAAATACGTTTTTAAAATAAAACCTTAAAAATTTAAATTGTTTTGATTTCTTTTTGTAACATATCTTATTTAGCTTTTATGTCCCCAGAAGATTATTGTTAATTCTTTTGAGTTCTGATGTTATGAGCATATGTAACTTTTTTTTTTTACTTATGCTCTAAATCTGTCAATGTAAAATTCTATTAATTTGAATGATGAGAAAATTACTCATTTGTTTATTTACGTATTGATTTGCGCTGTGGACGTGCGTATAGTTCTTCTCTTTTGCAACAGCATCAATCATCTGAATGCTTCAGCCACATGCTCAAAGTGTCGATTATTAACGAAACGCCTTTTATACATGCCTTCGTCTATGAAATATGTGAAATGTATGTTTCAGCTCTAATCAGGTTATGCTACCAAGCTTTTTTTTTATTAGTTTTTATTTAAAAGAAATTGCTTCGAAAACTACCAAGAAAAAAAAATGATTGAAAATATTTATGATTTTTCTACTGTTTCTAAACATTGTTTCGATGTTGTTGAACATAAACAACTACAACACCAACAGCAGCAAATTATAAACAGAACCATAGTAAAAAAACAAATAAGCACAATTGGATTTGTTGAATAATTTTGAATATAGGCTATGATATAATTATTTGATTGACCTTTCATTGAAATTAGATGATTTTTTGATGAAGAAGCAAGGAGGCTGTTCACTCGATTTGTAGAATCAATTGAACTAACTATAAAATTGGTACCATGAAATAAAAATAAACTTTTTTCCCAAATATAATTAAATATCCTTTCATTCAGACATTTTTCAGACATACAACTATATACTAGTTTTTCATATTTTAAATTTTGTAAATCGATACTTTCCATTTTAATATAAAGTGATTTTGTTATTATTAATTGATTACTTAAACAATCTTTATAATTTAAAATTGTTTTATAATTATTAGAGCACATAAAATTTGAACATTCGGTAATTTTTCCCGAAACAATATAACATCGATTTGATTGAATATCAAATGTTGTTATATTAATAAATTGATTTTTCAATTGTACATAATTAATGTCAATTATCCAACGAATCCATCTATTGATAAATTTCTTATCACATAAATCATCTGATGAACATGAATATTCAATTGAATTAATGATAGAATCATTATATTCATTGAATAAAAATGATGTCTCAAAAGTCAATTTATTAACAGTATAATTTATATTTTGTTTGAATTGAATTGTAACATAACCATCTATTTGATCATAATCAATTAATATTTTAACATAACATATATTATTTTTTATAGTTGAATTTGTTGTTTTATTTGAAAATTTTTCTAATGTAAACAAACCATTCGATGATAAAATTTCGTTTCGTGAAATTGTAAATATATCATTACTCATACAAGATAGATTAGTAACATAATAAATGTTTAAAAAACCAATTAGTACAATAAAGAGTAATTTTACCATTATCATATAAATTGTATATCGATTAATAACGAGGATTTTGTATCGTTTGCTTCTTCCTTTGAATAAGAATAAAAACGTCGAATGATTCTTTTTGTTTGTTATCAACCAAAAAGAGTAAAAAACGATTCGTTTATTCTTCAATATACAGACTGTATACAAAAAGAAAAAAAAAAGAGAAGCTATGAAAGAAATATGTCTGAGAAAAAAAAAGTCAGAAGGAAGATAAAATAAATTAGAACAAAAAATAAGTACGTGTGTAAACAATGAAAAGTCATTTGAATGTATCTTATCACAATGATAAATTATTCCAGAGATTCCACTGATTAGTGCAAATATACCTGACTCTGTAGAGAAGGACAAGAAAAGTTATTTATACCCAGAAAATTTCAAAATTTTTTTTTCGAATAACATACAGAAATAACTCAAATGTAATTATCAGAAGATATCTAGAATTATTCCATATCGATGAGAAACGAATATTCGACTGTGGATGTAACACTTTTGCTTATCCAGACCCACATTCATATATTCATGAAGAAAAATTGCTAGAACAATGTGAAATCGAAATTGATTATAATTTCATAAGGATTTTAACTTTTGGTATGTATTTAATTCATATAGAAACTATGCGAAGAGTGTATCATTTTTATGGCATTGATTGTATTGTGTAAGACTCTCAGAATATGAATTGTTTGAACTTGTATGAAAAAATGGTGAATACGATCTTGCATTAGAATGTGATGAACGAACGATGTACGAATTTCATACGAATAATCATGATATGATTATAGAAATTCATACAAATATGGAAGTTGTCTTGTTTTCGAACAATTATCTTTTTTTTTATAATGATTCAATTCTGATTTTATCTTATAACGAACTCACTCATAATTATGATAAAATTAAATAATATAATTTGTCAGTAGAATATTATATCAAGTCGATGAAACGTTACGAAAAATATTCATAAAAAAATGACTTGTTTTTGGAAAATAAAGTTATACTTTTTACGAATATGGCTCGTTGTTATATAGATTGATAACAATTTGACATATCAGGAATGAACTTTGAAAAGACTCTTACAGTACTACAAAAAATAACACTATATGATGTGATAATGGTTGATCATTTTTATTAAAAAATTCATTAAAAAAAGAAAATTTCATTGAATCCTATTGATATAATGGGATTATACAAACTATTTAATTGGTATTTATTTGCTATTATATGAAAAAAGCTTTTAGATCTACAAAAAAGAAAGAGTTAAATTCGATGTATCATTCATTTCTGATTTATACAATTATATTGTATCGATTTATGAGATCGAGAAGGACTATGATTCATCTATAATTAAATATTGATTTAGATTAACTATATGACAAAAAATTGAATACCAATGATCTAGAAACAGTTCAATCATATAGAATGATTACCAAAACAAATGCAAAAAAAAAATGATTATGATTTAGTTATAGAAAGTTTAGAAAAAACGGTTAAGAATTCAAGAAATAATTACTTCACGCGAAGACTTCATATCAGATTATATACATTTGAAGAAATTAGCCTCATTTTATAAAGAAAAGAAATTTTTAATCATTCTTCAGCGTTAGAAACTTACGAAAACATAAAGCTGAATGACCAATTTAAACTTGCAAAATTATATACTAACATCATTAAAAAATACTGCAAAATAAATTGATATAATATTGTTATTGATAACTCGACAAAACCATTGCAACAATCAATATAATTTAAGATTACGGAGTAATAAAATATATTATAGAAAAGCATTAGAACTCTATATAATAACTGATACTCGTGATGATGTCAAACGAATGGAAATTCTGAATTTTTTGGAATATTGAGAATAAATATTCAATGTAATTGACTAAGTCTTACTAAAGCATTCTTCATAATTTTTTTTGTCATTTTCCACGAAAAATTCAAACAGTTAATGTATTATGTGAACACTTGTTTCGCTATTTCGAAGTATTATTTAGACTTAATTATCATCGAAACGATACGTACACTTGAGTTTTATGTTGAAGATATATTTAAATTGCTCAATTTTCTTCAAGGAAAAAACCGATTTGAAATAAAAAGAGTGATTGTTAACGAGGCGAATTTTATAACACTACAATATAAACACCTAAGAAATTTTGTGATCCTCATAATTCTAGATTTTTATGATTGATAAAATATGACGATCTAGTTGCCAGTGAGAAAACGAAAATAATTGCCTCATTAATGATCTTTAGCTAATAATTTGAAAAAATGATTTCAATAAAATAAAACTTTTTTTTCCACATGTTGAGTTGGATTGTGAGTCTTGTGGGTTTTTTTTGTTAATTTTAACACAAGATAGATAATATATTTTCTAATAATAATAAAATTTTAATAAAAAAAAAAAGAAAAGAAGCTCGTAAATCTATTTGATACTACGTATTTTCAAATTTTTTGTTGTTGAATGTTTATTTCTTAATTAATAATTGAAAGTATTGATATTGTTCGACCATTGAAGGGTGTGGGTCCACACCCATCACACACCCACAAACCCACACCCTTTAGTGTTCGGTAACTATCATGTTTGGTTAGTAAATTAATAACTTGCGGGTATGGGATTGAGTGTAGAGCGCAAAGTTTGGCTGTAGCTGTAGGCTCGAGTACGGGGCATGAGTGCAACTGCCAAGAGGATAGAGTTCGGTGGTTCGAAGAAACGGAAACGGAAAACCGAGCTGGGACAGGAACCGTAGAAAAATCATTTTGGAATCGATAAAGGAATCTGAACCGTTAAATCATCAGATCGATACAAAAATTCTTAAATCTATGTCGAGAAATTTACATTTTTTCATTCTTGATGTTAAAGATTTTAGCGTATATATAAAATATTGTTTTCTTTAGAAGTGAAATATGTGATGTCTCTAATCTCAACAATACAATAGTGAAAATTTCTTAAAATATATCTGATATTTTCACATCTGTCCGATGATTAATGGTTTCAGTTGCACAGTGTAATTTGGGAATGGAGCCGGAGCTGCTTTTTTCTGATTTTTAGTAACCGAAACTTGAGCTGGAAACATGGTCCCGGATAATTTTTGCGACCGCCAAGCTATACAGAAAAGCCGACATCCACATCCACCCCCTTAGATACTAAATCTTTTTAAATTAACTACTGATCTTTTCAAATTATTTAGTGATCAAAAAATTACTTTTTACTGAGCAACACATACTGATCATTCGTTATACAATACTGAGCAATTAAATACATGCCTAGGGAAAATATCGAGTTTTTGAAACTGTCCTCAGACAGCACCCTACACCGCAAGGTAGCCGAAAGGTGGAGTATCCTTCTTCTTCTTAATTCAATATTTGACCTCAAGTCTACTAAATGATATTCATTTTTTTAATTTAAAAATTCGATCGGTAAAATGAAACTGGGTGGTAGGGATCAGGAACCCGGTGATAGGGCTGAACTTCCCTCCATCATATCTCCTAATCCTATTCTAGTAACACCACTAGTTCACGTGTTAGACTCACTTTGTTCGACAAAAGATTTATACACCCATTATAAAACTTAAGCGACATCTGCTCTATAGATAAATACTATACTTATACTGGATATAGTACCATGTTTGATGGTGAACGCATGTCATCAACAATGTGAGCTAGTGTATTTGTTCTTTTGTTTAGTGTCTCAAGTTCAGAGAATGAATGATTGTTTCATTGTTATCTATTAAATCATATATATTTACGTTTTGTATTATTCGCTTATCCATCATTTGATTTATCGAATACGTACTTATTCTTGTTATCGTCTAGTTTCGAGCCAGTCATCGTCATCATTTGATTATTATTATTAAAAATCTTTATCCAAAATTTATTTCAGTTATATTAATATTTTCATTAATTGGGTTTATTCTATTATCTTCATTTTATAAATATGGTTGAAATGAATCTTCAAAAACCATCGTTAAGGGTGCGGCGTGTGGGTGTGGGTGTGGGTGCGGGTGTGGGTGGGTGTGTGGGTGCGTGGGTGTGGGTGTGGCTATGGGCGTGACTTCAGATTCATACCTACACCGTCCACACCCACACCCACACCCTGCAATAATATCTTAAAAAAATCCTTCTATTTATTTCTGTTGTGACTTTGCTCAATATTGGCATTGAAATCCAGTGATGTTTTATAGATTTACAAATCTCCAAATAATCCCAAACTGAGCCACCTGAAAAGGTCAGGGAACTGTCTTGTTCATTCTTGTTAGATTCCTGACAGGATCCTGAAAATTGAATTTTGACTAGTTTCTAAAAAAGCTGAAAAGATCCTAACTAGTTCCTTGTATTTTCTTATGAAGATCCTGAACATACTTATATCTTTTTCAAGTATTCGAAATATCTGTTCCTGAATAACAGTTCCGTTCAGGAACCTGATCAAAGTTTGGCAAGATTTCTTAGTTTCGTATCGTCATTGATCGTATTTCTTATCAGGACTCTTGACGGATGTGGCTATCATTTCGGATAAGATTGCTGGTGTGAGTTTGAGGTGGGGCTATTGGTGGATGTCGCGTGCAAGTGGATACTTTCTTCGGCACACTCACACCCGTAAATCCATACGCACACCCACACCCCATAATATTTCAAGATCTGGTTGATTAGAACAAGAACAAAATATTGGAGAGCCAAAATGGAAACACTGTATAACGATTTTTTCAGCAATGAAAAAACGACTGCTTGTTGTATTTCGCTCGAAGTTGATAGTTTTCGAATAGTAATTATGAAGTTCGCCAGTAACAATAACAATTTCACAGTAGTACCTATCATCAGAAAAATAGTTTGATAACGACTGATATCTATCTTTTTACTTATTGGAATACTATGTTTATGATTGATTGTCTATTGTATGTTAATAGTTAAAGTTGCCTTTCAGTAACTAGGACATATNAATTTTAGGGGAGCCCCCCCTTCCCAGCCCCAAAATATGCTGAAAGTTTGAAGCCATTTGGATGTTCCTGGGCTGAGATAGTTTTTTTAGGGGGGGGGGGCCTTAAATCAACTTTTTATATTAGCTATATTACGATAGAAATTAACAACTATAAATGTCAGTCTTTAGAAGTTTTAAATTTTGTTAGCTTTTCTTTCTTCTTCGAAAGTAGAAAACTGATTTTAAGACTTTTGGGATGTTGATTATTATCAATAACTTTAGAATAGAAAAATCAATCCACTTTCTTCTATTTTGACGTGGACATTTCATCAGATTTAAGGAAATCTGCCATGTAAAAACTAAAAATAACATCGCATTTTTTCTTGTAATAATCATAACTAATTCAAATGATCTGATATTTATTTATTAATCAAAACCATATAAAAATTCCACAACTATATTTCTCAACAACAACATATGGTTTTTCATTTAGTGGTAAAGCAAGAATATGATTTTGTAATTGTTTGATGAATAAAGAATGCTTCGTGTATGCTATATCAATATCATATTCATTTCGATCACCACGACGTCGAAAGCAAAAACAAAAATCCGAGACCATTACTGCTGTTTCTGCAATAATTTGGCAACTTGTATCATCCGGTGGAGTATGCATACCACGCAAAAGTACACGTAACGACTTCAACATTGGCAAAGTTGACAGTCTACGAAAAGCATTCCAATCATCGTTTCCAAACCTAAGCCATTTATGATTAAGAGTAATTTGAATAGATCGAATCCTGGTTGAAAGTGAGCAATTATTTAATGAATCAAGACTATCTGTAAGAATAAGATGAGTAATATTCGACAAATTTACAGAAGTCTTCTTATCACATTGTGATAAACGAAGTTCGGTTACTTGATTCGATATCACTATATGAGAGAAAAAAGTAGTCGGCGATGGATGATTATCTTGTATATTCAACTTGACAAGACGAGAAGGACAAATTGTATTAGCTAGAGTTGACGCTGGAAACACTTGTAAGTCGCTAATAAATATATCTCGAACAGATAATTGATAGAATTCAGTGAAGATCCATGGCAACGTGTAGAATAGATGTTGTCGTTTTTTTCGTTTTTCAAACTAAAAAGCGATTAAATCATGAGATTGATAGGGTGAGTAGTATATCATTAAAATAAATTTTAATGTTTATTAAGTGATAACTTACATACAATTGCTCGGGAGTTGTGAACGGTGGATCATGAGGCCAATACTCAGATATAAATGTTGCGCTAGCTATTTGACGAGGATGGAATTGACTACCACGTGGTACATATTCCCTAAGTTCAAAATGTTTTCGACTATCATTAATGATTAAAGCATAATGAATATCAACATGACGATAATCAGTAAAGAGTGCTGAATTAGTCATTCGATCAAGATCATCACGAGCAATAACAATAGAGAAATTTATTCGTCGTAAAATAGGCATAACACTAGAAGTAGTTAATACATTAAGTAGTGTCCATTCTTCACTGCAATACGAACGAAATAAATTCACAAATGTAAATGTATGCAAGGCTTCCATTCGAGGTAAACAATCTTTAGCATGTAAACTACGATTTATGTCATTACATACACTCATTTTTATATGTAGTTGTTGTAATGTACATGCTAATGGTGTGGTCGACATAATATGTAGTAAATCTTGTGTTTTAGTAAGTGTAATTCTCAGATAGATCAAGTGTGTTGGTATGGTTTTTAAAGGCCATAGATGTAGAAAAAAAGATGTTTCCAGTCCCAAATCAAGCAAACGAAGTGCAGACAGACGACGAAGAACTTTCTGGACAAATTCACATAAATTCCATGGTGGATAGCATTTTTTTTTTGTCAGACCACCCTTTATAAAACAAAATAAATATTAGAATATGTATGTGACTTTAATTAAGAATTGTTTTTTTTTAGCTTATTCAAACATCTTAATAAAAGAAATTTTTTTTGATCAAACAAATAGAAACCTTTTTCTTATATTAGATGATTTTTTTTCCTAACATCATTTTTTTAAGAAAATATCTGAAAAATAGACAAAATTCTAATTGCATTACAATTAAAAGTTACTTGCATATCAAATGTTCCAAACAGTTTAGATAACCATAAGTAGTTAGAAAACAATTCTAGCAGCGAATCTAAATGATTTACTTCAATTAAATCCAGAAGTTCAATTTAAATTCTAATGAATTAATTTTTCTAAACACATTGTAGTGTAGTACACAATACTGAGTAGAACAGTTGTTGCAAAAAATGTTTTAGATAAGCTAACTAGTAACAACATATATATATATACTCCGTTAATTCCTCTAAGTTTATTCATTGACTATTATGATCATCTGTAACTGCACTTACTGTCTGATAATCATCGCTTGATTCGACTGTAAGATGCATCAATGTTTTTGCATGTTGTTGTGCGAAATTGAAAACATCGACAACGTTACGTACACCCTTCAATCGTAATGTTATTAAACGGGGTAAATAAGGCCATTTCCTCAGTTGAATAGATGATGCATAACAATCAATAACAAGTGACTCTATTTCATTTAATCGAAGTATTGGTAAAATTGTTTGAAATTGATAATATCGAGTAGATGATAAATTAGCATGACGATAAAAACCTAATTCAGTTAACAATGTTGTCAGACGAGCACTGATATTACTGAATGCCCATAGAGCATCAGCACAAGATAGATAAGACAATATTTCGATCAATGATAAATCAGATAAATTGTCGAAGACAGTGATCATTGTTATGAACCGAATAAAGACGACAAACAAAATATTTCTTTTATAACCATTTATATAATGTTATACTCTGTATACTCATTGTGTTATTATTTTTTTGTTCATAGCTTATGACCACTGGCGGCAACATTTAACAATGTGTTCATTCCTTATATGACAAAAAAAAATGCATGAACTGGTGTCTTTATGAATATCATACATTGGTATGCATTAAAATGATCGAAAAAATACATAGCGAATGAAAGAATAGCGAAAACGAATGACGAAAAAAAACAATGTGGATCGTATAAAAATGGCGAAAAAAAAATTCTTTAGAAAAGTATCGAAAAAGTTGAAATGTCATTGAATAACTCTATTAAATAGTGAGACGTGGAGTTCGAAGTTAGATGTGAAGCAAGGACTGATATCCATACCTAAACCATGCCGACATAAAGAAGTTTTTTTGACATATATTTTTGGGTTTGGGTATGAATGCAATTTGAGGTAAAGAGAATATTTACACCCAGACTCATACTCTCTAACAATATATAAACAAAGAAATGGTCTTTACTGATTCTTTTCAAAATTCAGTTTTGAAGATTGGTTTGTTTATTTTTAATGGTGAAATATTTGAAGATTATATGAGTAAAAGATTTTCAATAGAAATAAGAAGTTTTTGATACAATTGTACTATACATAAGAAATTACGGATATGTTAAACTAAACGAAATTCATGAGTACTTAATGAGGGATTATAAATCACGATTCATAAACGATTTTTCTTTTTTGTTTTTTTTTTGCAATACCGGTTGGTATGTTTTTGGTTTAAATACAGGGTTGCTGTACGAAGTAATCTTCAGAAATATTAACATTTTACTGTCATTCTCATTGAGGCCTTTTATTCTGTGTTTATTGCAACGAACGTATTTTTTAAGTTGTATTGTTTTCTTATTTAATCTTGAGCAAAATACTCATGTAAACAAAACAAAACAAAAAACATTCATTAGACTATTCTCTTCAGTAACTCGTAATTGATAAAAATAAATTCATTCTTTCATACCTACTCTGCACATATTTTTAAATGATTGATAATACGAACCACACTATATATTCAACTCATATCAGTAATAAGCCTTATGCATAATGGAAGGGTTAAAAGATGATGAAGAAATATATATGAATATGCATATCTATTGATGTGATGGCGGTAGTGTCTTGTCTCATATTAATCCAAGAAATGAAGTTTTACACATGTAATGTACTTAAAATTCTTGTCTCTACAGTGAGTTTTGTGTAACTTTACTATTAATTTAATTTTAACGACTAATTCTGATACGATAAGTACCATACTCTGATTTTTATTTACATCAATAAACTTATTGAAAGTATCTTATCCAAAACTATTATATTTTACTAAGATGTACAATAGTTTGATGAATTAAAAATCTATACAACATGACTTGAAGTATCACAGTGAAAAATGTTGACGGATAAAACGAAAATGAATGCGCTCATCAAAACATGGAAGGCGATCTCGATTGTGAAGAACGCATACTATAGTTTCATGAATACGTTCACTACTGATCTGAATGAGAGACCGAAACAAATAAGAATTTCTTTATTCGGATTCAATTTGATGCGTCTCAAAATATGATCAAGACAAAAGATACTTCTATTTGTGCACAGTGCCTGTTACATCTTAACTGTCTTTTTGATCGAAACATCTATCTATCTATTTCCATGTTAAAGGCTCATTTTTCATATTTATTCTATCAATACCTAGTCAGAAATCATTTATTTAATTTAAAACCAATATTTCAACACAAAGTACAAATTATTAAATAATCGTGGTCATAAAAGTTCGTTATCGACGAACTAGTAAAAATTTATATGACTATGTTTGTATGATTGATACTTGAGTTATACCTAGAGTAGATCTTAGAAAACTAGTCGAACACAAATCTGTCGAAAAATTTGTAATAAAAAATAAAAAAGAATATTATAGCAAAAAACTTTATATTTAACAAGCCAGTTAAACAGATATATAACAAAGAATAGGCAGAAGTCACTTGACAATCTATATTTTATTTTAAAAAATCGAATGTTTCTCTGATGCACGCATACTAGTAAAAGCATGAACTTCTTTTTAGTATTTGAATTATTGTGGTAGCAGGTTGTTAAGACAATACATATAAACTTTAGTCTCGAAGAAGAGCTGGATCAAGTAAAAAGTGAGTATTATTATTAGGTTTTGTCTTAGCACAACCATATTGAAGATTTGTATAAAAACATAGCGAGTGTGTTTATTTGAATTGAGACATTGCTTAACAATACATCAATGGATATCATAATTATATGGTATTTTCGCCAAGATTCGCTTAAATAATAACTAAATTTTTTTTTTCGTAAAACAAATATTTGTTTTCTTTCAATTTACGATGTTCTAACGAGAAAAAATAACGCTAATCAAACATTTGCTTTTCGGTAAAACATTAATTTCAAATGTTTTCTTTTTATTTTAAAATTTACTATTTCAATACTGTTTTTGAGCACATCAGTAAGAGCTGAAATAGTTTTACCGTTTCAAATGACTATATTATTTATGTTGTACTTTAAGTACTAAATTTTTTTTTTTATAAGAATACTCTTGAACTCCTCAAATAAATTAATTATGTTTTCTATCATATTGAACTGCATTCTTGATATAATTGAATTTCGATCTAATCAAAAAAACGAAACACAATTTTGAACTTTCGTATAGATAAGTGCTCATTCAAAGACAAATTGTGTGTGACATTTATCATCATAGATCACTTTTAAAAACAAATGACCCCTCCAAATATCTATTTCTTTCTCTAGTATAATTAAAACAGACAAAAAAAAATGACAAAGAGAATCATGACATAGAAAACTGGACTAGCCAGACTACAATATCACAGATAAATTTTTTTTTTGCTTTGAACAAAAAAAGTAAATAATTCAAGAACACTAAATATCATCAGCATCAAGATTTGTTTTCATTGATGACATTAATGATGTTCTTTTTAACGTTGCTAATGGTGGTAATGGAGGTATATCTCTTGGATTAATATACATATTAAATTTTTTTGATGGAATATCTTTAAAATAACTGTTAGCAGTTGTTTTTGATAATGATGATGAATCAAAATTTCGAAATTTATTTTGATTATTATTTGTATTTGATAATGTTGTAAATGTATCTGAATCAATTGCTGTATGTGGACTAGATGAAGAATTTGATGTTGAACCTTGAAAATAATCTTGTTCATCTCTTGAACGAAAATTTTCTTTATGTCGAAAACGATGACAACATAATGCATATATACAAAGTATTAATAAACAACCAAATAAAAATGATATTAAACTAATTAAAATAACATGAAGAAACGTAAAACGATATTCATTAAAAAATTGTAATAATGATGGACATAAACATGAAGTTTCTTCATATGATAAACCTTCACATGAATTTGTAAGACATATACGAGTACGAAATTTAGTTGAATAGGATTGAGGTGATGTACATGATGAACATTCAGACCAATCTGTCCAACAAGACCAATTGCTTTTTAATTGTGTAGAACAAGATAAACATTCACGTTTTTCGATATCTTTACCAAAACATTGACTACCTAAACAGGTACGACGACGAGTTTGTGTCGAACCAATAACATCACAAGATGGATAACATTCTTTCAAAATTAAGAAAAAAACATTATTATTATTATTATTATTATTATTTTTCTTCTATCTACAATACTGACCACTCCAATTAGACCATGATGACCAATCATCAAATGAATCTAAACAAAAGAAAATTATAAATAAATATAAATTTGAATTATAATGCAACTGATTTTTATTTTACATGAACAAGTATAAGCAGCAGTGGCTGGGCCTCCTCGTGAGTTCTGAACTCCTAAAAGCGTATCTTCACTTACGAAACTCTCAGAATCCATAAGAGTTTAACAACTCTAGGAATTCAATGAAGGGTATGGGCTTCGGTTCTCTCTACATCTACATCCACACACTCATTTATGAATATCTACCGAAAAGATAGTACCGTATATTTGTTATCTTTCAAGACATTTCCTACATCCAAAATTTCTGCATATAAGACATCACTGCAGTTATTTGAAATTTATCGATAAACAATGTGTGATGATGTAAATTTCGTTTGAAATACTTAAGTGATCTGTTACTTAAATTCCAACAAAATCATGAGCTACAGAATTTCCTTGAATTCCATGAGTGAAGTTACACTTTTGAGGATTTCATGAGTTCAGAACTCATAGAATTCGGACACGTCTTAATATTAAAAAGTTACCTGTTTGTTGACAATCATATCCTTTATTATTACACACTCTATAAATAACTTTATCTGAATCTATTTCTAATCGTTGTTGATCAGATGACGAAGATAGTGTACAAACAAAGCGAGAACGTGTTTCTGTTATCATATCATCACTATTCAATCGATCTTTCTGTAGTACAATACGTGTCCAATTAGTCCACATTGTCACTGGTTGAACTATAAAAAAATATTTAATAAGTAATTTTAATTTTTTCTTTGTTTTGTAGAACATACTTGGACAAGGTAATTCATTACATAAACGTATTTCATCTAAGCATTCATTACATTTTTCACCATTACTTGAACACGTTCGTCTTCGTTTTTGTATTCCACCACCACATGATTTTGAACAAATATCCCATTCTACATTAAAAAAATATCAATTATTAAATAATAAAACTTGTCAATGCAGCGCCCTATAGGGCTACGAATGTCCAAGTATTCAAACAATTTCGAAGAGACTTCTATTATGGTCAAATCTCTTAATATCAATTGAGTGTGAGTCTTATCAAAATGAAGATTCTCATAGCCATACATACTCGATATCATGATATGAGAAGCAGAAGAAACAAAAATTTGTTAATCTGTGATTAATGTTCAAATACCTGTTCCAAGACAACGTGATAGTTACAGAGCATGTACAGACCACAATTTCAGATGAGTTCTAAAGATTCTTGTTAATCTTGAGTATTTGACGTCTGGAGAAACATTTTTTTTTATATGCAGAGCGCATCTGACTAAGACTAATTTTATAATATCTGCGAAGCATTGCTTGAAAAACTAAAATCGTCTGGACACAATAGATATCTTGGGACTTTCGATATGTCTTTTACATCGATCCTTCTAGAAAGAATTTCTATTCTATTTTTGGGAGTAGTTTAATATAAAATAAGTAAAGTAAAGAATCTCTAGTAGACTACAGTTGTTTTTTCAAGGATAATCGATCACCAAAGAAACGATCTATCTCATTTATTTCTGCATTTCACATAGAGATTCTTTGTTTTATTTTACTAACGATCTATTTTTTATTTGCTTTGTTGCTTTTCATTTTCATATTCCATTTTTCTTAATCTAAAATTCTTATTAATCTAACGATTGTTTGAAATAATAAATAAACATTTTATAAATATCCATTATATCTATAACAGATCTCACCAGACTATTTTTGTGTCTCGATAAACTCACAAATATTGATACTGTTTATTTATCATTATTGACATCTGAATATAGACATTCATTTATACGCTTTAGAACCTTTACAAATTTAATGAAGGCTTTAAAATGTTATAGAACATTCTGTATATTGTCGTTAGTGCTGTTCAGCCCTTTTTCTATTGCTACAGAACTCTGTAAAAGGAGTTAAGTGCCAATTGTACTTGCTTGTTATGAAAACGTTTCTAATCATTGTTGGATTTCTCTCCTTCTCCTATTCTTTGAAAAAAATATGTGAGTTCCACAAAGTGATATTTACCGCTCCAATTACTTAATCTTGAAGTTTCACTTGAACAAATTATTTCCGGACATGATTCTTCTTCACGTTCAGATCCAATACATATTCTACCGTTATTTTTTGGTTTAGGATTTGTACAAGTTCGTGTTCTTGATCGAAATTTTTTTCCACATGTTTGTGAACATATACTCCAAGTACTCCATGGAGACCAGTCACCATGAACTATTCGAACATAAAATAAAAAATTTCAAAAATTAAAATCCAAAATAATAATTTTATCATTCTTTTACCTTCACATTGACTTATTTCAATATAATTTCCTTGACAGAATTCTCCATCAAATTGAGGTTTTGGTTGTGTGCATGATCGTGTACGACATTGACATTTCTCACCTGTTTCTTGTTGACACATAAACCATGATGACCAAGATGTCCAACCACCATCAACTAAAACAAATTTATTTTAATAAATATAAAATAAACAATTTAATATACATACTTGTTACATTAAGAATTGGACATGTTAATAATTGACGCGAAATTTTCCATGATGAAATTCTAGAAAAATTGCATCGCTGATAATAATTATCCCATATACAATATGGATCCATAGAAGCAGTACACAAATGACTAGTATTAAATCGATCACAACGTGCAACAGATATTTTTAATACGGATATAGATGTTGTTATGATTATTTCTTTCTGAAATAATAAAAAGAATTTTTAAATGAATTTTAAGAAACAAAAAAAAAAAAAAAAGATTTTATTTTTCTTTCACCGTTTTTGAAATAAACTCTGCTTTATTCACTTTCCAATCATTTGATGAAATCATCGATGGTTTTAATTCAATTTGTTCAATTAAACATAATTTTTTATCATTTTCATTGGTTATTAAGGAATATTTTCTTAACCATAAACCATCCAAAGTAATAATAAAGAAAACAGTTACATCATAAAAATGATCAACTAATAAATGACCAATACGAATATCATCTAATATAAGAGCATCAAATGATGATTGTAGAACACCTGATCGAAGTACACGTCCTGATGCAATTGATGATATATCATTTGATGAATTTGGTTCACACTGAAAATTATTTCAAAATAAAGAAATTATTTACACAGATAAATCTTATTGCTTTAAACTTTCTATCACACTTCAATAATATCGACAATTCATGAAAGTTTTATAAACATTTTCATACTCACAACGCTTTATTAAAGATCACATATGAATAACTATGCTTCTCGAATAATGAAGATTAACTTTTGCACATAGAAACATAACACTAAAGTATTTACTTATTACAATGTAAATAATACCGTTGAAAAAAACAAAATGTTAATAAGCTCTTCTATCTTTAACTGACGACAGTGTTCAAATACGAACTATATCAGTTCGTTACTATCTTAAGTGAAAAGACTTAAATTAAATGCAAACATGACATATTTAGGGATGTAACAGCAAGAGTAATAGTGACGCCGATGAATATATGAAAAAACTACGGTAATGATCGGCGTACTAGCAACGCTAACTTTTCATATCATAAATATATCGAAATAATGGAAAAAACCGATTATCATCGTACATTTCTGATGCATTCACTGTTTTGACCAGTCTTAACACGTCAGTGGATAATGGTGCAGTTCTATTTTTATTTAGAAGCGGCGAAACTAGGGTAGTCTCAACAACTTTGATAAGATCTCCACTGAAAAGTTAAGAATAGGGAGGATGACGAGGCATGTGCATCTTTTGATGATATTCAGATAAAAGACAGTTAGTGATTTTTACTTTCAATTCACATTTTGCACTGTCTAAATCTAGTAGAGTATTTAAAAAATTCGCAATTTGTGTCAAAAAAGTACAGTTAAACAAACACGCCAAGATTTTATTTTGACACTCCAAAGAGGATCTCTTGATCTGCTTTACTAAAAAAACAGAACAATAGTGAAGCAGAAGTGTTCAAAAATAAAAAGATAGAAATTACACTGTATGTTTGCTCACTTTGTTAAAAATGTTTCTTTGGGATGTGAAAATTGACTACTGAAGATAAAGGATATTTTCAGTAGCTTGTAGTTTATCTAACTCGAGTTTCTCGTAGAATTCTTTTTTTTCTTCACTTGTAGCGAAGGAGTATTACTTAAAGTCGTTGACAATATAGAACCCAACATTTACTCATACGAAAATTCAATGTTTTCTCACATGACGTTTTCTTAGTCTGTTTCACTAAGAAAATGTTACTGTTTGCTACCGAAGGTGATGAAAACACTTTTAACTTTGTATAAGAATTTTGACGTATTGTATATATCGATCAATCTGATAGAATGAAAAACAAATATCGGAATCTACCGAAGTCTCATAGTTCTATCACATAGGTTTCTAATCGTAAATAATAATTTACTTTTTCCATTTCTTGTTCTGTTGAAGATGATATCCAATATGATTCATTTGATTTTTGTGTAAGAAATGAAGATTTAAAAACACTTTCAAGTTGATCAATTGTATAAATACAAATAGCTGATCCAATTAAACCACTTCTAAAACAAAATAATAATAATCTTTTCTAGAAAAAACAAAAACGATGAATTTCAGTTCTTTTACTTAGGTAAATTAAATGCTCCATAAATTAAATTTAACGAAGAATAAAAATAAATTGATTGTAATTCATTAAAATCAAATGAAGTTTTTTCATTTAATAATTTTTTTGAACATAATAAACGTAATTTTGAATATGAACGAAATGTATCACTAAATGTCATTGTACCATGATCATATTTACATACCCGTGCAACACGAGAATAAACATTCTAATTTCAAAGCAAAAAAAAAAAAACTATAATAAATTTTCAAAAAATTTTATTCTTAC